GCGTAAGATAAAAAGATATTTTTGCATAGAAGCATTACTTGCTTTTTTCTTTGTCTGAAATATATTGTTATCAAACAAAAACGAAGTTACCAGGGAAATTATTTAGTGTGAATTGCATTGGAACTATTTATGTTGTTCCGCGTTTAATTCTAGCGACCGCGTAGATACTATGTGTCCGAATTTCAGTAGAAGTGTAACATTTTCGATGTATATTTTTATGACCCAAACTTTTATTACTCACCGAAGAGATTTCGTTTTTAAAGATATTGCGGAAGAATTCAAATAATATCTTGTTTTTTAACTTTGATTTGATGAAGCGCCTACAGTTAAAATAAATCGGAAAATAATTGCCTCTATCTGTATATTTGCTCGTATATTATACTAGGGTATTTTTAATTATTTTTCAATCCCTTTGCTTTCATTTCATCTGTTTTTGTTTAATCTCTGAACTTTTATGTTTTTACGTCAGGACGAAAAAAACTAACCATTGCCAAGATTTGCTTGTAATTTGTCATCAACTAACAACATTCATAAATTTTCAGAAGATTTAGTACTAGTACAGAAATAATTCGCAAATCATGATTTTATTTTAAATAGTTACCACGAGGAAATAAAAATTAATACACAAGAACTTTTGGTTATATAGAAAAAAGCAAAACACAATCAAAGGACATACGGAAGGTATGTAAGTGGCCACTAATTATAATCTTCCGGTAAAATAAAAAGCTATCTAGTTTTTTATGACACAGAAACAAAAATATGTAAAGTTTAGTTATTTAAAATACCTAAGAAAATTTAATTGGGACCACGGTTTTCTATCCTACTAACTCCTATCTTTGTATACAGAAAACCCATCAATCAAACTAGCCTAAATATCACATACTAGACCAAAACTTACCGGTCTACTTATCGCACGGACAATTTTAAAAATAGGTTTAAATAATAATGACAGACACAATATGATACAGTAATATGATATTTAGTCGAAATCCCAGAGCAGACAGAGTAAAATTACAATGGCCCAGTTAACTGGACGCACCTGTTTTTAGGTCGTCGCGAACGAATGCAATTCGCTTTGTCCGGTTGTTCACCTGAAACTCGCTCTTACCACGGCTCCTACGTATAGTGACGTAACTCGTTTTTTTGTGCAAAATTATATTTGCGCTTTCGAAATTCAAGTGTGAATATATCATGTTTAAATCATTTTTTCGATGTATTATAGTCTTTACATATGTATCAACGTACACCAAAATGACATTGAAAAATATATTTTTTTACGTACATCCATATACGTAGGACCCGTTGTATAACACGTTACCCCCTATTCCCCCTCCTAGTCTACGTCTGGATATAAATAAGCAACTATCGTGTCATCTATGACGACTGAGCAACGAATAGTCTATCTGTCCAAGTGACATTAATCTCGTAAGAATAAGAATAGCTTCTCTGAATACTTTAGTTACAGAAAAAATTAATACAAAGTAGAGTCCTGGCTCTAATAAGCGCTATAGATTGATATTCGTAGAATTTTCTTTGTAGAATTGGTAGATAAAATATTTATGATATGTCAAACGTAGGTAGGCGTTGTAACTCCCTAACTTTAAAGGGGGTAATTGGGGATGCAAGCGCGTAAAGTTGGGTCTCTTTTTCCCTGATTATTAGTGTAGTGTGACCATGAATGCAGCAAGAATCCTCGTACACTACAATGTCTTTGTACGAAGATGTCAATCGACAAAAAACATGAAAGTTAAAATATGCACCAGTAATTGCCTAGAATCCATTTTACTGTCAACATGGTCATAAGCATAGTAATGTAAAGCAACAAAAAAGTTGCTTTTCCTATGGCACGATATTTCTACACGTGCGACATGTACATGAAATAATATAAATAAATGTTAATCTAGTATTTGTTTTGGTATGGTAGACATTTGGCACCTTCTTCCGTACTACACAATACGGTATGCTAAGCTTCATTTGATACGGAGACCTAAAGATATGGAATCGCTTTATCGTTTAATAATAAACTAAATAATGATATATAATATAATGATGTCCATGGGCGTCGTTGAACACCTCGGTGTTCCCGCTGCTCGTTTGCCCCCTTCTGTTATAAAAAAAAAAATATTCCTTAGTTACTGTCACCCGTGACTCCGTAAGCGCAGAAGTATAAAAAAAAATATTTAGTAGCCTATGTGATCTTCCAGACTATAGATCCATGCTGCTGTTCTGGAGATTTCTTCTAACAAACATCCATCCATGTATGTAACATCTAAACATTCGCATTTCTAATATTAGTAAGAAGTAAGATTTTCAATAATAGAAATCAATAGAAGTTAAAGTGGATGTAATTCCGCGTTTCGTCTGATTAGTGTGAGTACCAGAGTACTGTTTTAAAAAGGAAAGAATAGAAAAGGGATTTCCTATGGGAAAGACGATTTAAAAACAAATAATCTTTTATTATGCGTCCTTAGTCTTTGTTATATAATTAATACCCTAATTTAGTCTTCTTTCCCTTCCCACCTTTTTATAAGGAAAGGATGGAAGGGAAGATATTTTCTTTCTGTGCATCCTCTCTTCCGTCGATTAAAGGTAGACAACGCATATGCATTTGCGTATGTCTATTGGCAACGGTCACTTCGCTATTTCAGCGATTTCAGGTGGCCGCTCGCTCGTTTGCCACCTTATGATATAAAAAAAATATAATATTTTGTATTAATCACTCTGTTGCCAGTCATTGAGGTTGAGTTGGCAGGATTATAACACTACTACGTACTCACTAGTTAAAACCAAGCCAACTTGGCGCAGGTGAGAGTAGAGGCAATTTATATAACAAAATTGATAAGTAAAAGCATCCATTTTTAATAGTTTTAAGTACTCAAAAGCAAAGTTTTACAGGAGAACTTTTTTGTTGAATTTAGCATTAAATTCCGAGTTTTCTTTCCATTGTTCGTTAGAATCAATTTGGATTTTTATATTATATATATTTCACTTTCCCGTTGAGTCAGTTGCCACTTGGGTTACCGCCAACGTTCATTGCAAAACATTAGTTAAAACTGACAAATATTTTTAAACACAAACGTTAACATAAAATATATTAAATTAAACATAATAAAACAGATTATTCAGTTTATTAAAACAATATTAATCTATGACAGTAATTCCCAATGTAGTTCAGGTGGAACTCCTGGGTTTCAAAGACGTTGGCGAGGCATTGCCTTTAGGGATTTTAAGATAAAGACTAGATGTAACATCAGCGGATCCATTGACATCACCGATGGTTTCCAAGACCATAATCTCTGTATAAAATATATCGTCATCCCTGTCGTTATCTTTGAAAATACAAAGATAACGATATTATATTTTAAGCCGAGATTTTAGTCTCAGAAACTCACGATGAATAAACAAAAATACAATATGTAAATTTAGTAAGATCTCCGAACTTTAGACGTAACAAATGTGTGTTTTCATTCAATTTGCCTGTGTATTTATAAGTAAAAAATCCAGCTTTACGTGTATTTCTATTCTAATTTATCACATTAAAATGATCAAAGCAATATTTAAACACTTCGTAAAATTATTTTGTCATATGATTTACGATTTCATTCAACCTTAATAAATGAAAAGTATAAAGAAAGTATATATCAGACATAGCACAGGTAATTTAAATAAAACCTTGTCTAATATGAAAAAGACTTTTTTATGTTAATAGCAACGACATCTGTTATAATGGAATTGAGTTTTTCTGTGAAACGGAAACGTTCCGAAAAGAGCGCCATCTAGTATTATTTTTTGTAACCAATAAGAATCCTACCGACTAAAACAGCTTGCAAACACTACAATATAGCTTTGAAAACTGTCTGGTCAACAATGATAACTCGAACCTCTTCATTTGAGTGCAACCTTGGATATTAAATAGCCCTGGTCCAGAAGTGCTTCGCGACATTTAATTTACTATGTAAATGTTGTTGTTAAATTAATAATAATAAAATTGTTTTACACTTCTATGTAAAATTACTTATTGACACAGATTTTTCTAAGAACATTTTGCTTAACTCTATTCTACTTCCCTTCGCTTACAAACCATTTTATTTTAGTGAAACCTAGATAAAATCTAACAATTCTAGCACATTTTAACGATATCGTTGACTTCGCTTGTGATGAGCGATGCAGCCGTGCTATTATTGATGTGTGTGGGCGACAACGGGCAGTTATATTCACAAAAACATAGAAATAAATACCAAACGGCCGTCCCAAATATCAATCCCACGACCCACTTACACTGCACGTTGTGATGATGCGATTGACATGATACTCTTTTGTTTTACTGTTACTGGCTGATTTGTCATTGTTTCTTCTTTGGAAAAAGGAGAAAATATAGCAGTCCCATATAGCATCATCTAGAAAACTCTCTTCTTACTTATATTTTGAATGCGAAACTTTGTATGTTTGGATCGATGTTTGTTAGAAGTTATCTCTACAACGATTGCATGGATCTGAATGGAATTTGACATACATAGATGTAACGCATAGTCTGGAAAAACACGCAGTATAATATTTTTTTAAATACTGCTGGCAACAATCAGCTTGTAAATAAATTCATGAAAATATGTACAAAAACCGGTATATGTCATAAAAGTGCGTAAGTAAGGTTAAGTTTGAAAAAATGTCGATACAATGTTAACTTTTTCGAATGAAGCGTATGCGTTCAAATAATATCGGGTTATTAACCCCATTGCTGATATAAGAGCGTATTGGCGGAAAAATTGCAACAGTTTTAATTATGTTCGACAGAATCGATTTAATCTAATTAAATTTATCTACAATGTACTAATTACATCCTACTTCAATTATCTTTAGAAAAAAATATTTATTAATTTTGTGTATAGCAAATAGGCAACAATTATATGTCAGCCATTTTTCTATATTTAGTAATTTAGCTTTCTACTCTTAAAATACAAATAAAAATTTCTATTAGTAAATTATGTATTTTCTTGTTTCAGGTGCAACAAACGAAACAAACATCGAATATATTGAATTTTAACGAAACATACAAAACAAAATTTTTATAACCACATCATTAGGTATTACCTTTATCACGGTTACCTATTACGAAAAAAAAATACTATGACAAAACAATGACGTTTAAAAAAAGCGCGCCAAATCTGTATAAAAATTAAGGCAGTGACATGTGTACGCTTTGAGCCAGTTTAAATGAAAATTGTGGATAAATCAAGTTCGTCTTTATTGAGATTGGGTGCCGAAAACGACGGGAAGATGTCGCTAGTAGCTCCCAGGCGGGTCCAACTCGATTGGGCACCCAGCATTCCATGGTAAGATTATAATTATAGACAATATTCATGCTTGATCCACCAGTGAAATTCATTTTCAACTTCAAACTCCTTTGAAATATACTACTACGTTGGGATTTTTAGCTAAACATGTGTTTATTATGGGATGATTTAACAGTGGTGGTAGAGCCCGCAATAACATGTTTAGCACGTGTCGGCCCTCTCGGTGGATTACCACGACGACACAGAAGACAGGAGTGTAGTGGAAGAAATTCCGCGTTTCGTCTGATGACTTCCCGGAGGCCTAATTTTTATCCTTTTGCCCATTCCATCCTTTTCGTGCAAGGAAAGAATGGGAAGGGGAAGTGGATTTGGCAGGGGCGTCCCTCCTCTTTTTTTTTAAAAAACTAAGCAACGCAACTTTAAATGCCAATGTTATGGGCAGCGGTCACTTCACTATTTTGGCCAATTCTAGTGGCCAGTTAATCGATTGTCACGGTTTGTTACATTAAAAAAATGGCCTGTTTAACAAAAAATTGCTGATAATTACAAATATTCAAACACCAAATTAAAGGAACATAAAATAAAACAATGTTTTCTTATTAGAAACCAAATAATGCCTTGTGAGTTTACACTGCTTAAACATGTGCACTAAAACTAATATTTTTTCCAAAAGACAGTAGAATAAAGATAATAATATGTTTTTGTATAGGTGTTACATTTTACATTCATAATTAAATTACACTTAAGTTCTTGACTATACTTGTTTCTTACTATTCATTAAACCAATTTATTATGCCGTAAAAAATAGTAAAATAGAGCTTTCTATATTTGTTGAAAATTCGAAAGCAAAAACTTGAGTACACTGTGCAATAATTCTAATTCTAATTACCATTATCGTAGTAATATCTATTTGAACCCTATTATTATCGGAAAGGTCATCGGCCTCTTAGCACAAATTACGGCTAACTTCAAGTAATACTGCGAAAAACCAACCCGTCAGCTGAGCGGGTGTCGCTTACTTCACTGCGGTGAAAAGAACCTGTCATGGCTCCGCGATCGATGTAGACCTATGTCGAAATCGAGAGAAAATACGAAAAATGCTACCGCGCGACGCGATGAAAGACGTTAAACGCGTCTCAGTTGCTTTTTTAACCGCTTAATAATTAAATAGTACAAAACGTCGCGCTTGTTCAGTGTATTTTCAGTGAATTTTCAGCGCATCTAAATATATTCTCTGTCGGATTGAGCGACGGATCCGATTTTCTAGGTAAGTTTTGTGTATTTACAACACACGATAAAGAATTTTATGTTGCGTGTTAAATGAAAATGTATTACAAAATTAGGTAAAATAAATATTACGGAGAAAATATATGTGAATTGTTAAAAAATCGATTGTATGTGGGTGGGATGCCCGGGTATTGCTTTCTCGCTTTAGTATTACCCGGCTGTGTTAGGAAGTGACGTAATACCGCGGCATTTCTCGGTTGCGTAGTGCAGAATAATCGGCCGGATTATTGTACTTGTCTCTTTTCTTCGTAGTAGTCTGACAATTTTACTTATTTTTAGTGGGATATTGACATTTTTCTAAATAAAAATATTACAATAAGTAGTACGACAACATTTAAGACTATTTACCGGTTTTATTTGTTTTTTCTACAAAAGTTTTATGCCAGTCGACACATAAAATCGATATAAAATATTAGTTTAGGCTATATCATTAAAGTGATCACTTGAAATAATATTATTTTAAAATGAATTTATTTAAACTAACTTTCGATAGCAGACACAACATTTATTAAATATGCTAATCTTCATAGATTTTTAAAATAGTCTTGGAGCTAATATATAATATTTTATAATTAAATCTATTTATGTCCCTTATATGAATTAATATTTTTAAACAGAATTTTCAAAAACAATCTAAAAGGTAATATAACTTTGTAACAATGGTTTCAGTGGATAACATATTACAATGGCAATTCATCTCAACCAGATCAATTATCTTAATAGTAAGCAATTACTCCTGTTATAAATGTATTATTCAATGTAACCACACCTACATAGAAACTTGTTCAATATGTCAAAATAATTTTTATAACTTTACTAGCAGTCGCCCGCGACTGTCCACACGAAGTTAAAAAACTTAATAAGTAGCCTCTGTGTTCTTCTTGACTATGTAGTACATCTATGCCAAATTTCATTGAGATCCGTTGAGCAGTTCTGGAGATACCTTCACACAAACAGCCATCCATACATCTGTCTAAACATTTGCATTTATAATATTAGTAAGTCAAAGGGATATTAAATTCATCAGATATGACAGTTGATATAGTGGTATGGAAGAGTTGTAAATATTGTGCTATTCAGAAAGTGATACCTAATAAGGCAGACTATATTTAAAAAATAACTGTTATTTGTCGAATAGATCTATGAACATAATTTATTAACATTTTATTGTAAGTTTAAATTTCTGAAATATATATCTATCTCTGTTTTTACAGAGATAATGAGAGTGATGATAATAGTTTTTGTACAAGTATTTTGACATTGTAAACTCAACGGTTACCTTCTGAATTGTTGCATTTAGTGGAGCATAACGTTACACAAAGTCAATCAGCCAACCATTAACAATGTTGATTCTTATCCAATTTTATTGTTATTTTATGTAAATTGTAAGAAATAGATTTTATAAACTATTTTCGATTATAACTGCAGTTGTATAGGCAAGTCAAAGGTAATAAACAGTTAATAATATCGGAAATAAAATTAGAAATTAACTTAGCATTTTTTAGGTTTGTAAATTAAATTGCATACCATGGGTTTGTCGAATCAAAATATCTCTATTAAGCATATGACAAAAAAGAGATAGCAATATGTTTTAATTTTAGTCTCAGAAACCCACAGTTATTTGTCCATCACAAGAAATTAACCCTGTTAATATAATGTTCGCTGGTCAGCTTAAGTATGTATTAGTAATCTTACCTGCTAAATTAATTAGTTTTCTTAACTGTAAAGGTAACATCTGCTATATATTAATTACAAATCATTTTTAAAAAATATTTGCAACCAAGAAGTTTTTATATTTACATTATTTAATTTAAGCCCTAGTGGGCGTATTTTTTTAGGTTATCATTGAATAGTGGGAACCAATGAGCTATAGTTACATAGTTATGTTTATGTACAGTATCGCACTCAAGTTATTCTGTTTTTACGTTATATTATGAAGATACACTGACCTGTTTATTATGTTGCTGACTGTACTATTTGTGTCAAGTTATGAAAATAAATCTGTGACAATTGTGCGCACAAATAACGACAGACATCTTTAGTTATAACGAGTGTGTTTAATGCGCGTAAGTTTTCTTGTTATTTTTGTTAAATGTTCAAAATCAAGGTCTTCTTTCCTGTACTCAAATCGAACAAATTTTCGCTGTGTAATAGTATTTATTTGAAGACTAGCTGTTGCCTGCGGCTCTGCCCGCGCGGGATTAAGCAAAACTTAATAAATAGGCCTAATCATCTTTAACTTAGGGTAGGCTCCGAGCCCCTCGGTGGGGACGTATAGTGAGCTGATGATGATGATAATAAATAGGATACGTGTTCTTCCATTTCTTCATGTGTGCCAAATTTTATCAAAGTCCGTTGACCGGTTCCGGAGATACTTTCGAATAAACATCCATCCATCCATCTAAACTTTTATTATATATTTATAATATTAATAAGATAGCGTGATTTTTAAAACGCGATGTTTTATCGCGCACTGTTGCATTTTGAGCACTGAGCGAAGGAAACAAATGAGATTTTTAAATCCTTACTCACCGGAAAGCTGCCAAAGTCGACTTTTAACGCGGCGTTAAAAAAGCGGCCGTGCGAATTAAGTGTTAAAAATTTCGACACATAGTTAAAACTGAAGTGATTAACGGTTACTTATTCTAGTACTATTAGCTTTTAAAACGAATCCAGTATAGAAAAACAGTAGTCTAATTAAATATAAAACCTCTGTGGTAGTTACTCTGTGTAACCCTTCAGCGTTGAGCTCTCAACGGAGTGAACTTTCGTTTCGTATTTATTCATAAAAGCCAAGGAATGAGGGCAAAGAAAAGCAGTATATAAAGTTTCTTCAATTTTAAACGCCTTTGAATTTACTTTTTGTTCTTTGCCCGTTAAAAGAGTTTAATATTTCTCATATTAGATATACTATTAAAAAAACATTGTCCAACGGACAAAATTGTGAATCTAAACCATTCCCAGATCCCCTTGAACACACACAAAAAATTTCATGAAAATCGGTCCAGTCGTTTGAGAGAAGTTCAGTGACATACACATTCACAGAAGAATTATATATATATAAAGATTGGTCCTGAACTAATTTTTACTGAACCTAATTACTTTTTCAATAAGTATTTCCGATAGCACTTTCGGACTGTGAAAGGCATCCGAATTATTTTTAAAAGATTGTCAAAGAAGGATTAGGTTCCATTAGACTGTATAATTTTTTTATTAACTTTTTTTGTACGTTCATAGACAATAGGATTCGATAAAATGATTAAATTGTTTCTGATGAAATTCTTTGCGTCTTTCCTAGGACTTGAGTTCATCGTCACGATATCCATTTATCGTTATTGTTTTTTTACAGTTATTTGATTTTAAATGCGTAATCCATATTGCGCCGTATTAGTATTCGTAAAGATTTTTATTACCAACATGAAGTTAATGTACCCACGTCCTGTACTTTAATATTGACCGCAACGTCCCCGTCTAATGGGTGCTTCGATCTGAGTGAATTTGGCACTCATTTGACGGATATTCTGAAGGAAAATGTGTCATATTTATAATGACGTCACAGGATTATAAATTACAATTATAACATGTTAGTGTATAATTTTAGGGTCTAGAGAAATATTTCTCAAACTTTTTGACTAGGGTAATCCTAGATTCTAAATTTGATTATTCTAGACCTTAGAATTTGTGATTATTTTCTTGCGTCCCTCGTACAGTTCACGTCCTAACTTTTTCTAAATACGTAATATTAATCTTTTGACGGTTTTTTTATCTGGGAATTTTTTAGTACGTAAAACTACTGCTACTATTTTGTTACACTTTAAGAAACGCTGGTCTAGAGAAATATTATTTGACTAATGGCTTTACGTCCCTTACTAGATTAATTTCTAAGTTGCTATCAAAATAATGCCAAACAACAATTTTGGCATCACTCTCATTCTATTAGCAAACTTAAAATACTGACATAAAATACATACGACTGAGCAAAGGCCCTATCTATTCTGCATTGCGTTGTTTAATTTGTGTTTTAAATTGTGTAATAAACACTTATAAATGTTGTAATGTCTTTGAATGGATTAAATGTCTTATTATTATTATTATATAGGATGATTATATTTCTTTTATTTCGTATACAGTAGAATTAAGTTAAGAATTAATTAGTATTCATCGGAATAAGAAACACCCGCATCAAATGTCAACTACAATATACCGACAACCAACATGATATTAATTTACTTGATAAGTTCGAGTTAAGTTACGTGCGGACAGAGGCGTGTCTCTACAAGGCCGTTGCGGTTAAAAAAGCAGTTATAGTAGGTTATTAGGTAATAAACTTTTATGTACAAGAAATATTAGTATATAAAGGAAGCAATGAGATTTTAGCTATTTTGGATACTTTGATTCATGTGTAGATGCTCGTCTACCATTTAAGCGTGGACTTTCACTGTTGCACCAACTGAAATAGATGATAGTATACTGAAATTGTTACAGTGAAGGAAAACATCGTTATACAACCTGCACATATCTGAGAAGTAATTCAAAGATATGTGTGAAGTCAACCAACCCGCACTTGGTCAGCGTGGTTGACTATGGCGTAGTCACTCTTAACTCAGTGGGGACGTATAGTGAGCTGATGATGATGATGATGATACTGAAATTACTCCGTATTATTTAAAAAAATGTCCATATTAGTTATGTTGTTAATCTATTTATACAGTAGGGGATCAATTTATCGTAGTTATTCTATTAAAACATATTGTAAAGCATTTATTTATTTTTGCTAAGCGTTCTAATTTAATTTAGCTAATTAATTTTAGGGAGTGTAATGCGACTAAGCTTGTACAATGCTTTCCTCGCATGTCTGCACCGTTTTGTTTTTTAACTGGGATCGTGGTCAAGCGTTAGCTTATACTATATTAAAAAAAACTCGTCTTGAAGTTTGATTAAAATTAAACATTCTGCCAAAGAGGTGGCATACTGGCTACTAAAAACTTTTGCCTTTTTAATTATGGAAAATGATAGTGGGGCTTTCCTGCTCTTTAGCAGATTTAAAAATTCGGCCACAGACGTGGCATACTGGCCACTAAGAAACTTTGCCTTTTTAATTATGTAAAAAAAGTAAAAAAAAAGAAGAGAATTGCGCGGGAAGTTAGATGAAATAATATTTTAAATATGTTAGTGTTATAACAAGTATGTTAACAACGTAATAAAATCATTTTTGGCTTTCGTGTTGTATTCAATTTATACAACATGGCTGGGTAACTTAGTTACCCAGCATTAGGGTTACAAAATCTACCCTTCATGATATCCCTTGATACCATCTAATAGGCCAGAAACCGATCAATAATGTGAAGATAGATTGTTTTGATTTGTATGTGGAGGGTGGGGTTCTACGTTTTATGCAACTGTGATGATTATGTAGAAGAAACACGCAAATGTTTTGTTTTGTTACTGTTTGTGTATGTTATTTTGTAGGAAAAAATAATTGTATCTATCTATACAGTTACAATTAGACTGTTTGTATGTAATATCAGCAAAAAAAATATTTTGTATATGTCATGTATTTTTTTACGTAACGTATTTGTCTCGTCTTCTCCGATTTTCGTAACGAAGACCAGATTTTGCCTGTACTTTGGTGTGGCTACTTTTTAAAATTTTGTTTTGACGAAGACGCGTGTGAGCGCTAGTTAATGCATTTTATTGCTTTTTAAAATAATACGTTTTCATAAATTTAGTCTTATTAATCCGATTGATTACCCATCTATGCAAATTTTATAAATACTTATTTGTGATAGGGATATTAATCACAAATTCCATAAGCTTCCATAGTGATCCATTATATTAGCTTTCAGGGTCACCTTTCAGCTTGGGGGACTGACCTAAAAACAGTAAAACCTCACCTCTCTTCGAACTTTTGTACCGTATTTATCCAGCAGTAAATACGCTATTTATTGCTTTTATATACGTGTATAAAGATAAAGATTGGCAACTAACCCTGTGACATTTTATAAAAACATCTTCACAAAGAATTCTTTGTTACAGGGACATTTTATTAAAGGCTATTTATATTGAAATTTATAAAAAGACACCACTGTTAGATCGATCGATACATAATGATGTAGACAGGTTTTATATAGTCACGTAAAATTCATATCATAAACCATAGGTGTAGGCATAATTTACAATATCATCAAACCATAGACATGAAAAGTTTTTTTACAGTGGACTATAAAATTGATAGTTGTGTTTGTCTGTCGCAGGGAGCAGGAGCCAGCCTGCGAGAGAGAGCCATCTTTCAAGCAGTTGGCACCGCACGCCTCTCATAGATCAGGTAATGTTTTTTAATCTTACTAATATTATAAATGCGAATGTTTGGATGGATGTTTGTTAGAAGGTATCTCCAGAACGGCTCGATGGATCTCGCTGAAATTTGACATAGATGTAGGACATAGTCTGGAAGAACACATAGGCCACATAAGTTTTTTAATCCCGGGCGACAGGTAATACAACGTAATTTAGTTTATTGACGAGTACCTATACTTGAAATAATGTTACCCTGGTAGTCTACCACGCTAGGTCTTAGTCGCCCTCATGACACAGATGTTTTTTTGTCAGTTTATCATGTAATGTTTTTCTGACAGAATCATCGTCGTCATCAGCGGACACCGAGTCCCAGGGCTCGGGCCCTGCCGCCCAGCAGCACCAGCAGCTTCGTGCGCGCCGCCATGAACCACAGGTCTGTAAATAATTTAAACGGTATAATTTAAATTACGAGGCTTTGAGGCGAGCTCTTTTAAGTCATGATAAATAAGCCCCTTAACTTTGAACAACTCTTGAATATTTTTGCTTCAAAACTAGAAAATGGATTTTTCTGTTCGAGCGAGTAACGTAAGTAGCGGGAAAGTATCTTGACGACAAAAGCCTTGTCTTTACACTTCATTTGAATTCACTCGGAGCTAAAATTATACAGAAAATTACCCTTTAATATATTCTTGACTATAAAAGTGCTACTTCGCAGGGTAAATATATCCCCTTCGATTTTTCATACCCTCCTTCACCCTTATGTATTGAAATTCAATATTGCACGTTATTTCATGTTAAATCGGGATATTCTAGTTATATATGGGTGCAACAAAGTTATTCTTTGGCGTTGCTTGTGGTGACCAATTTTGATGCGTAGATTACAAAAAATTATTTTAACCTCAAAGAAAGTTTAAATGATCTTTGAAAATACTATACAGTGTGGATGAAAATTGTTTATTATAGTTTGTCAACCTCATTCCATAAATCGTACTTAGTACTAATATTCCACCACGAATGTTTAGATTGATGGATGGATGTTTGCTAGAAGATGTCTTCAAAACGGCTCAATGGATCTCACTGAAAGTTGACACAGATGTAGAACATAATCTAGATAAAGACATAGACTACTTTTATACATTGTTAATTAGAATCCTTTGGCGCGAATCGCGCTTTCATTACAAGGTCAAGTGTCGGAATAATTAGTGAGGGGACATAAACGTCGACATTTTAGTAAGGCTAGTGTTGAATCCGACACCGGTACAGGCGGATTTTCTTTCTAACACTACTTACTAAGTTTCTTTTTTAATTACGCGCGGACAATGTCGCGGATAAAGTATAAGTATAAAATAGTTCACTGTAGTAAAGTATCTACCAGTTTCCATATATGGTGCGTAATGAATTTGTCCGTACCTATGTGCTAATTTCCTCGCTGTATGTCACTAGTTGTCGTACCATAACTGAGGAGAGACGTGTCAGCCATAATGAAATCAATGGATCAAACTGTTTTGCAAATCATTCAATGCTTGACTAAAGTAAGTGGCTTTACATGAAGTACACGTTTGGCATTTTCATTTTATTGTGTACACAATTTGAACAAATGAAAACCTATAAAAAGACTATAAAAATGTTGGCAATGTTTCATAATACTCTTTATAATGCTTTCAGATTGTTAAGATTTAAATTGCCAGATGAATAATACAAAGATTTTTAAGTTCGTTTGAAATATTCTTCTTCTCAGACACTTCAGTCTTTACAGAATAGTGGTCATCAAGTAGGTGCCGTAACTCGTTTTACCAGTTTTCTTTTTTTTTAAATGATAAGGTGGCAAACGAACGAGCGGCCACCTGAAATCGCTGAAATAGCGAAGTGACTGTTGCCCATAGACATACGCAATTGCATATGCGTTGCCTACCTTAAATCGACGGAGGAGAGGATGCACAGAAAGAAAATATTTTACTTTCCCATGCATCCTCTCATTCGGAAAGTCCACTTCCACTTCCTTTCCTTATAAGATAAAGGGTGGGAAGGGAAAGAAGACTAAATTAGGCCTCCGGGACGCACACTCATCAGACGAAACGCGGAATTGCATCCACTTCACGCCTGTCTTCTGTGTGGTCGTGGTATTTCGCCGGGCGAGCCGGGCCAATTCGTGCGAAGATATTAAAGCGGGCTCTACCACTGTTGAACTGTTCCCGGACTATTGAAATATTAATACACAAGCCAAAACCACTTTAAGAAACTGAGTACTTTTAAAATTGACTGTTTACGATTCAAGAAATGTAGTAATCGTTTGCTTTTATTTTTTTTAATCCTCTAAAAAGCGAAATGGCTTAGAAATATTTCCAAGTTTAAATCGTAAAAGCTAGAGAATGAGGGCAGCGTTTTCAATGGTATTCATTAGTGGCTGAAAAAAAGGTTTCTCAGTTATAGTGCCGCAGAATCTATGGCTGGAGACGTAGGGCTGCCAAAAAATGTAGACCCGGATACAGACGACGAAAAAAAATATACTTAGGGGACTACAAAAATATCGAGTGACTTGTTTGAACCACTCTGACCCTCGGCCCCAATTTTAAAGGATACATCTGAGGCGGATGGGGTGTAATCCTGGATATCACTTGCCAATAACTACCACAAGACTTGAGATTTGCTGGAATGATTACAATTTTTAAATAATTTTCTAAAACTATGAGATGTCAGCCCTGCTGAGACGACCGTGTCTTATATTGATCTTTGTTTTCACCCCGCAAGGTCGTGTTACAATGCCGATTGTAGGCGAAATCAGTTCTTTGGAAGTTTTCTCGTTTTTTACCTAGTATTTCAGTATACAGGTTAAGGTTAGAAAAATAGGGCGGATTTTCTTGACCTAGTTATTATATCTTACAATTTGATCTAGTATACAGGTTTGTAGTTTAGACCAAATCTAATGATAATTTAAAAAAGTTCGTTAGTTCTAGATAAATGGATTAATAATAGATATATGAAGAGTATAGAAGTTGTCATTTTTAAAGTAATAATGTGTTTTTTTAATTAACAAAACCCCTGAGGGATTTATTCTGATAAAGGAATAACATTTGGGTAAAAGAAAAATTCATTAAAGGTTAATACGCTGGCATTTACCCTTATGGATAAGGTCAGATCGAATTGCGTGATGAGGTAAAATTATCCAATAATATAGAAAAAATATTATTTTTCATAGTCCAGACGACATTGACATCTAATTTGAGGTATCGACTATTGTAAGATTTCGTAATTAGAATCACATAGACCGACAGAGTTATTTGACCCGGTGAGCATATATAAATTGCAATAGCTCATTAGTATTTGTCAAAAAGTGTACTCAGGCCAGATATCCTAGTAGGACTATATCTTCTATCGTGTCAGAGACCACAGAGTAACTAATAGTACTACGTAGGTTACTTTGTGTCTAAGTACACGTGCAAAGCCGGGATGGTAAGTTAGTTTCATAATACAACATTCACATTCAAAAGTGTTAGAGCCCACTTTAACATCTTCGCACGAAATAGCCCGGCTCGCCCGGTGAAATACCACGACCACACAGAAGACAGGCGTCAAGTGGAAGCAATTCCGCGTTTCGTCTGTTGAGTGAGCGTCCCGGAGGCCTAATTTAGTCCTCTTTCCCTTCCCACCCTTTCTTATAAGAAAAAGATGGGAAGTGGAAGTGGACTTTCCGGAAGAGAGGATGGTTGTAACGGGAAAATATTTCTTTCTGTGCATCCTTTCCTCCGTTGATTAAAGGTAGGCAACGCATATGCAATTGCGTATGTCTATGGGCAACGGTCACTTCGCTATTTCAGCGATTTCAGGTGACCGCTCGCTCGTTTATCACCTTATTGTATAAAAATGTATGTAAATATACCCTATAATATACAAACCGCATAAATTGATCTTATGCGGTCAATACTAACAATACATCTTCACCGTTGATTTCCACTGCTGTTACATTTGTATTTATATGTCTCCCTTATTTTAAAGAGACTGAAAGGGATGGCTATATGTATTACAATTGTCGGTGCAGTGAAGTTGTACGCTTATAGATTTCATCAGCTGTCTAGTTACCATTTGACCGCAGACCTTGCTCTTGGCCTTGTGCACGGAAAGTAATTGCTAACACACAGTAATTGTTTGTAAATTTTATAGAACTTTGGGTCTCGTGTTTATGTTAAAGTGATGTGATGTCGGGTGATTTGTGTTTTCATAATTTTATTTTTTAATTATCGACAAAAAATAGACATACAGACGAATTGAGAAGCTCCTATTTTTTGAAGTCAGTTAACAAATGGTGACACACAAGTCTTCATATATAGATAATTTATTGTATTGAATAAAATCATTGATTTAAAAAAAAACTTTTTGGAATATTGCGAATAATTTTTGTTTAAAGTTTTCGTATTATTTAGAAAAGTTATTAATAATTGTTATAGTTTATTGTCTTGGAAAAGTTTTTTTTTTGTATTTTACGTTACTATATGCGTGTTTACTGCACGTTACCGCTGTAGTCAATTAGTATGATCCAACCTGTTGATTTGCAATTAATTTGCATAAACTTAAGCAATAAAAATTCTTCTAGCTTTACAAAGAATGTGTATAGTTTTTTGCCTTGAGTATGTAGACTGGGAAAGGATGAATGAAAACATGTGCTGTATATCGAAATATATCTGAATTATTTAGGACAGAAGAGAAACATGAATAAGGTATACGATTTGACAGAAAATAATTTAAATGTTGGTGTAAAATTATAAAAAATTACATGCTTTGAAATTTATTCATCATCATCATCAGCTCACTATACGTCCCCACTTAGGGGCTCGGAGCCTACCCTAAGTTAAAGGTGACTAGGCCATAGTCAACCACGCTGGCCAAGTGCGGGTTGACTTCACACATATCTTTGAATTTCTTGTCAGATATGTGCAGGTTGCATGATTGATTGAATTGATGTGGTATTGTTTTCTATTACAGAGGGAGGAGCGGCGCGAGGAAGCCGCTAGCACTCCTAGAGTGCAACCTAATCCTTTGCTGAGGTGAGATTTGTGATACATAATTAATATTAACATAAACACATACAAAATTTCACTTATTACGTCTATTTTGTATGAATGTTTCGGCAATGGAAACACACAGTTCGACTAAAGTTAGGGAAAGCTATATGATTGGAAATCTCTCATAGATACGGATTATGATACGTAAATACTTGAGACGTACGCTGAGTAATATGAAGGGTATTTAATATTGGTATTAAAATGTCTGATTGGTATGAGAGGAGTTTACTTTGTATAGGGAGAAATACTATATTGATTTAATATCTTCCGATTTAAAGTTGAAAAAATCAAAATTATATAGCATCATCATCAGCTCACTATACGTCCCCACCGATAGGTCGGAGCCTACAATAAGTTAGGATAGGTCATAGTCAACCACGCTGACCAAGTGCGGGTTGACTTCACACATATCTTTAAATTTCTTCTCAGATATGTGCAGCATTACCATGTTTTCCTTGAACGTAACAACGTCAGATAAATGTACATATGTAAATCGAAAATCACATTGGTACATGGCGGGATTCGAACCCATGACCTGCAGATTGTAAGTCAAGTGCTTAACCCCCGACTCACGACGCTCAAATTATATATGTAACATAACAATGGTAGGTGAAACACATTTTGGGCCGCGGAGGACAGTGAAAGCGTGCCCGTGGTCCCGTCCCGATGCGTTGGAGGAACAGAGAGCTTAAGTGGGTATGCCTCCGCTATGGAGGAGAATCCCACATAACTACCAACCCCCTCCCGGGGCGCGGAGTATGCATAAAGCATTCCTCTCTGGAAAAAAAAGGTGATACACATTTTATCACAATGAACATGTGTTTTCATTGAAAAACTTGTATAACAACAATTTGATATCCATCGCATTATGTTTGAAAAATTTAAGATATGTTTTTGCGTATTAAGGCTGTGAAGATGATACGATATTTTAAAACTGTCGTTATTTGTATTAAGAATAAAAAGTATTTTATCCATTTGAATATTAAGCTTTAGTTAAATATTTGCAAGATATATTAAGCCGCTGCATAATGCTTCGCTCGACCATTATTCCATTGTCAACGGCATTGTATAAGTTGTTTTTAATTTCCCAGCGTAGTTACAGCCTTGATAGTAATATCTTGTTTAAATTAGTTTATTAGATTGAAATGTTACATTGTTATAGTAAAGGTATAGTGGGAAAGTATTTATCTTTTTGATCTAAATTGAACTACATTGCATTCTTTGAGCTCAAAGACAGCGCATAGAAAACAGACGGCTATAAACTTTTGAACATAGCAACTTCTTTCAAGAACTAATATTGAATATTATCTCCTTCGAAACGGCTTGACAGATTTTTATGAAATTTTATATGCATGTTCAGTAGCTCTAAGAATCGGCTACTGTCTATTTTTTAATTCCGCGCGAAGTCGCGGGCGATCGCTAGTAATTTATAAAACTATAACGCTTGTTGAGTTATGGTTAGAAATAATGTAATGTTTTTTTATTATGTTTGTTGAGGTAAAAAAGGGGTTCTAAATGTTGCCCTGTTCACTTTGCTAGTCGTGCCTTGAACAGTGCGGTTACACATAATGCATTCGCTCCGAAGCAATTCTATAGCGAACTTCAAAATTGTATGAAACTGACGCGCGACAGTCACGTGACTTATCGAGAATTGTTGTCAGTTCTATACATTTTTGAAGTTTGTTATGGAATCGCTTCAGAGTGAATGTACTTTGTCTAGCCGTGTGGGCAGTGCCCGTTAATATTTATTGTAAATTTAAATGATATTGTCAGGTCGCGTACCCTTCCCAACTTCGGTGGTAATCGTTCCCGCGAGGCGTCCCGCTGCGATACTTCGCGGCGAGCGCACCACATCACCATGGCTTCCGAGGACCTGCTGCAGCCGGGACACGTCGTCAAGGAGAGATGGAAGGTCTGACACTTCAATACTCAACAATGCATAGACTGCAAAAAATATATTTGAAACCTGTAAACATTTTCAAAAATATGTTTAGTTTGTGTGCCTTCATTTTTGAGTTTTTATTTTTAATAGTATTAAAATTTTAGTATCGATTGAGTTCTCATGAACCAAAGAGAATTTTACAATTAAATGGTCTCATGATACATCTTCTTTTAATTAGAAAAAAAGTTGTAGTATATAGTATATTACGTTGTCTTTTCAGGTTGTAAAAAAGATAGGCGGCGGTGGATTCGGAGAGATCTACGAGGGTCTGGACCTGGTAACACAAGAACAGGTGGCTCTGAAGGTGGAGTCAGCCAGGCAACCCAAACAAGTACTCAAAATGGAAGTGGCTGTCTTGAAGAAATTACAAGGTTTGTAAAGCCTGGTACTTTTAATAGGTAGCCCTCGTGTGATAATTGTGAATGATTTTATTTCAGTACAATATGGAACTTAAACCTACTATTAGTGATCGAAATTCAACTATTTGTTTTTTTTTTACAAAAATAAATTTATGTATTATACTTCTCCACGTTAACTTTAACTGTATCAAATTTCTCATATGACTTAGGATGCGGTTGTTAATTTTTTTCGTTTGCCTTGATCCTTTGATTGCAATCAATCCATCTTATCTTACTTTACTTATTATATATGCGAATGTTTAGATGGATGGATGTTTGTTAGAAGGTATCTCTAGAAAACTAAATGAATGTGGCCCAAATTTGACATATATGTAGAACATAGTCTGGAAGAACACATAGACTACTAAGTTTTTTTTATTGCACGCAAACGGAGTCACGGCTAACAGCTAGTATATTATACATGCGAATGGTTAGATGGATGTTTGTTAGATAGTATCTCCAGAACCAACAGGCCTTGTTGAAATTTGTCATACATATATGTATGACAAATTTCAATTTCCAGACTATGTTCTATAGAACATAGTCTGGAAGAACATAGGCTACTATTTTTTTTTTACATATTGTTTGTGATATATAGGCAAGGAGCACGTGTGTCGTTTTATCGGATGCGGTCGAAACGCCCGCTTCAACTACGTAGTGATGCAGCTGCAGGGCAGGAACCTGGCGGAGCTGAGGCGTGCACAGCCACGTGGTGCCTTCTCTTTATCTACTACGTTACGGTGCGACCTAATTTCTTATTATCTTACTAATATTATAAATGCGAATGTTTAGATGTATGTTTGAAGGTTTCTCTAGAACTGGTTGTATGGATTTTGATGAAAGGCATAGATGTAGAATATTGTCTGGAAGAACACTACTAATTAAGTTTGTTTTAATTCTGCGCGGACAAAGTCGCGGGTAAAACCTAGTACTGTATGTCATGTATACAGTACACATGTCATGTACACATCTAACTAATGGCTCCTATTTAAATAAACGTAACTTAAATTTATTTTTTTTAATGAAATTTGACTTTTTTTTTCAGGTTGGGTCTGCAAATATTAAAAGCAATAGATTCAATTCATTCTGTTGGCTTTCTACATAGAGATATTAAACCTGTAAGTAAACAAAAATGATTGTTTTTTACTAAAATACTTTTGTTTTTAAAAACATATACATAATTAACCACTCTTACTGTTAGTTCTCACTTGTTTTATACTAGTACTAGAATATTTCATCATCATCAGCTCACTATACGTCCCCACTGAGGGACTCAAAGCCTACCCTAAATCAAGGGTGACTTTATAGTCAACCACGCTGACCAAGTGCGGGTTGACATTCCCACATGTCTTGGAATTTCTTCTCAGATATGTGCAGCATCACGATGTTTTCCTTAGCCGTAAGAACGTTGGATAAATGTACATATGTAAATCGGAATTCGAACCCAGGACCTGCAGTTTGCAAGTCAAGTGCTTGACCTCTGAGCCACCGACATTCCTATATATTTAGTACATATATAAAGACAGTGTAAACCCACACTATATGACCATGTTATTTCAGAGTAACTTCAGTATTGGACGTCACCCGTCTAACTGTCGTCGTGTGTACATGCTTGACTTTGGTCTCGCGCGACAGTACACCACCAGCAATGGACAAGTACGTCCGCCGCGAGCTGCTGCAGGATTCAGAGGTACATACAAACATACATACAACACAAACATACGTATAATACAATATTTATTGGTAATGTTTAAATTACAGATCAAAGAACGATTTGCAAAAAAAAAAATTTTTTTTTCAATGTGTCATGTGTCGCAATACTAGTTATATAAAGTTATTATGTCCGTTTGTCATTCCTAATTTCTTTGGAAAGTCGCCAATTTTGCAATTTCAAGCAATTAATTTAATACGTTCAAATATTAACCTATTTCTTACTCATATTATAAATGCGAATGTTTAGATGGATGAATGGATAGAATGTGTTTGAAGGTATCTCCGGAACGGCTAAACAGGTCTCTAGGAAATTTGGCATAGATGTAGAACATAGTCTGGTAGAACACATAGGCTACTTATTAAGTTTTTTTTTAATACCGGGCGGGCGGAGTCATGGACAGCCGCTAGTTACATTATAAAGTATTGCATCCGCTATTGGCACGTCGGTAACAAGAGTATTCTTCTAATCCACGTGCCAACTGACGTACCGAGTACTAATTGACATATATTCCAGGCACTGTGCGTTACGCGTCAATAAACGCGCATAAGAACAAAGAGATGGGTCGTCATGATGATCTCTGGTCACTCTTCTACATGCTCGTTGAGTTTGTCAATGGTCAGCTGCCTTGGAGGAAGATCAAGGATAAGGAACAGGTTTGTTGGATAGACCACATGTTTTAGGACTAGACATAAAAATGCTTGCAAAATAAAGCTTTAAAAATATTTTTAAGATTCATATTAACAGTTGCACGGAATAAAAAAATCTAGTCATAAATGTAGCCTATGTCACCCAGGGATAGTGTGGCTTACCAACAGTGAGAATAGAAAACTACTACTGCACTTCCAGGTGGGGCTGATGAAAGAGAAATACGACTACCGTCTCCTGCTGAAGCATTTACCATCCGAGCTGCGTCAGTTCCTGGAGCACGTGCAGCAGCTGGAGTACGCTGACACGCCAGACTACACCATGCTCACCTCGCTGCTGGAACGCTGCTGCAAGAGACGTGGTATACGGGATTCAGATCCTTACGACTGGGAGAAGGATGTAAGTTTATTCATGAGACTTATTTCAATCCATCATCAGCTCATTATACGTCCCCACTGAGGGCCTCGGACCCTACCCTCAGTTAGGGACTAGGCTATAGTCAATGTTTGCTCAGTGCGGGTTGACTTTACACATATCTTTGAATTTCTTCTCAGTTATGTGCAGTATCACGATGTTTTCCTTCACCGTAAGGACCTTTGATAGACATGATTTCTATACGTTTGCGAAGTTATTTTATCTTAAAATGTATTGTGGATATTGCAGGCTGTAGCAGCGGCAGCGGGTTCCCGCGCACGCGCCGCCCTCGCACCCACAGAGCCCGCCGCCACAGAGCCAGACCACGCCCCTGACAGAGTGAGTATGCAAACCCAAATGTAACATAAATTACATACAAATAAAAACATCCCTCAGAACACAAACATATAATATAACGTAGTATTTTATTTTGTTGTAAAAAATACTGAAAATGAAATTTGACAAAAACGCAGTTATTTAGTTTCCCATCTGCACCCATGATATATACATTCTAAAACTAGATAAAGTAGTTTATATTTCTGTATACCTTATACATTAAATTTAAAATGTGGTTTGTTTCAATATTAACTCTTGTCAAGTCACAATAAGGTTAATTTTTGTTAAACAGGCGCGTCGCCGATTGGAGACAGAGGGCACAGCTGCGGTGGCGACGGACACGCACACGCATGCGCACAAGGAGAAGCGCGCCACGCCTGCCAGCCCGAGACACGCCCACGCGCACCCACACAGCCCCGCTACACACCACGTCAACGGATACGTAAGTCTTATGATATAACAATAATAAAAAAGCTTTAAAAAGTTTTTTTTTTAGGGTTCCGTACCTTATAGGAAAAAAAACGGAACCCTTATAGAATCACTTTGTTGTCCGTCCGTCCGTCTGTCAAGACCCTTTTTCTCAAAAACGCGTGAAGGTATCAAGCTGGAATTTATATCAAATGTTCAGGTCTGCGGTCCCTAGGTGGTTTGAAAAAATAAAACTTCTAAGCCAACCCAATCAAAAGATACGACCGTTTATTTTACATTTGGTTGAATTTATATAGGTTAGCTTTCGAATATAATTTCGTTTTGTTCACAGTCTGCTACTGATAAGGCAACTCCGGATAAGGAAGCTGAAGTCAGAACTACACCTGCGCCTTCTCCCGACCGACATGTTAATAAGGTATGTCAATTTAAAGCGAGTCTTCACTGCTACACATGTGTTTCAACGACATATTGTCATCTCTTACATTCACCTTGAAAAAATAGAACAATAATGACAAGTGGGGCATCGACTATTGTAATCAATATGATTTACTATTTTATTGTTTGTCTATTTAGCAGGAAAGCGGTGCAACAAGCGCAGCAGGAGGCGGGGGCGGCAGCGCAGGTAGTGGAGGCAGTGCTGCCACGCGGCCAGAGCGCCAGAGCGTACCACCCTGTAGGCCCAGGCCACCTCCACTCGGTACGTAATTCACGTACAATACGGTCTTATCTAGAAGTACAGTCAGCTACATAAATATGCACTTCAAAACTTTACAAACTTGTATAGGTACAGATAGGGATGCACACATTCTTCATGTAATCATAGTGTAAAGCATACAGACGATTGCGTGTGTACATATTTTGAAACCGTTTATAATAGTTTTTGAAGCTTTGTAAAATTATTATTATTTATGTAGCTGACTGTACAAGAATTTAAAGATTTTGCTGTACGAATTATGACAAATTATAGCATAAATAAAATTGTATTAATTGCTTGATTTACCAGCTGGTGGTCCGACATTGGCCAGACTTCGTGTTGTCACCGCCCCGCCCACTTGTGTACAAGAACTGGCTCACGCCCCCTCACCTTCTCTGCAAGGAGAATCTGTCAGCCCTCGGATCATAGCTGATGTGGACAGCATGCATTCTGATACGCACTTTAAAAGAGGTTCGTAACTGTAGTATAAAGGTTCGTTTTGATATAATTCAGAATCGTTAAAACAACGCTTGAAAGTCGCTTCAGAGACAGATGTATGGGAATAAAATACGACGAGCGTTGTTAATACGATTCCGGATTACGGAGTTTCTACTGACGACATTTTTATAAAAACATCCTGTAATCTTATTCTGTTTGACAAATAAGAGACTGCGATAAGAAATATGTGTAGCCTCAGTCAAATACTGTTTATACAGGGTGTTCATACATGTTTATTTGTACTCCATTGTACACATTCTATATAAGTTACCATGTAGCATAAATTTAAACAATAGGTTATGTTAAATAATTTTATTTAAATAAAATTAATATATACAACGCGTTTATATAGTTTAAGCCTACATATTAGAAAATAACAATGTAAATTTGGTTATATTGTCATATTTTCGACCAACGACTCTATAGAGTCCGTTGAACACGTTTTTTCCCGGACTTTTGTCCATATTGGACATGTCAATCCATAGTGCCTTTCCTTATTATTTAATAAATTTTATTACATTTTTTTTATAACATAATTACTTTATATGCTGTTATTTTTTTGGTCCGTTAGGTGGTCGTAGGACAGCTAGAGCTCGCGCTGACCAGAGTTACACGCAGTTCGCTGTTATGGATGATGATAATGTCTCCGCATTGCAACAGGTAAGAAATTATTTTTTTTATTATAGAAAATACCAATAACCGAGCGGCAACCTGATTTCGCTGAAATAGCGAATTGACGAATAAACACCAAAGTTGCAGATACTTTGACTATTCTAATGGACATTTCCATTATTAAAAAAAAACTTATTATTAAAAAAAACTTCGGAAGGCAAACATTTTTTTTTTGTGTAAATGATATAATTCAAATGATTACATGTAAGTATTATATATTTACATGTTATTTTGTTTGCAGATGACAAAGGGAGGTGCGCTTACGTTAGTGTCGCTGTGGAAGTCTCAGTTCGACGACTCTGAGGAGACAACTGACAACGAGTGGAAGCAGGAGCAGCTGCAGGTATATAAGCACGTATGTACCTCACAACACTCCCACACATATATGTACATATAGCTAAAAGTATATGCTTATGTATTTTTTTAAATTACGATATTACTATGTGTTGAATCAAGTACAAGTTAAAATTTTAATAAATTTTTCTTCATAAAATGTACAAAAAACAAAAACTTACCGCACATAATGTTTATTATTATTATTTTCATTAATCTTATTTATTAATATAATAAATGTGAATGTATGGATGGATGTTTGTTAAGAGATGGATCTCGCTTAAAATTTAACATAGATATAGAACATAGTCTGGAAGAACACATAGACTACTTAATTTAATAAGGCTAATAATTTTATTTCTTTTCATCATAATTTACTTTTATTACTTAAATATAGCTAATATTAACACTATCATATAACAATTATTGAAGAATACAACAATGGTCACCAAAATAACATTAATAATTATAATTCCAGTCACCAGAGCACCGTGGAGGCGGCGGTCGTGCTACCAGTGCTGTGTCCAGCTGCTCCAATGCTGCACGCACGCAGCTGCCGGCCACTCACACCCAGCACACCCAGCCCTCGCAGCCCACCCCGCCCACACAGCAACCAGCCCCGCCCTCACCCTCGCCCACCAAACTCACACACAACCAGGTAACATAACATAACAAATCGACATATAGGAAAAAGAAACTCCGTCTACGTATGTCTCTATAGGCACAGGTCGATTCGCCATTTCGGCGAATTTATTACGCTGTGTTCCATATAATACATACCGTTACATAACCTAATCTACCTGATAACGGTCGTAAATGTAAATATATACAAATAATGATATTTTTTAATTCTAGCAAACAATAATTTTTGTATGTAATAGTTCAAAAATGGGTTAACGCAATCTAAATTATTAATTTCATTTTAAATGAGAAAAATATTAGATGGATTAAATCTTATATCTTTAAATGAGCAATTCTTGTATATATATATATATATATAATTGGAATCTCGGAATCGGTTCCAACGATTTTCATAAAATTTAGTATATAGGGGGTTTCGGGGGTGATAAATCGATTTAGCTAGGATTTTTTAGAAAATGTCATTTTATTCGTGTTTTATCGATAATCAACTTACACGTAAACTTAACTTTTTCTATCGGTAAGATCGAAAAATATTATTCATATTTCATCAATTTATTAGTAATTCGTACTTAAATATAATTTCCAAAAAACACAATTAATTTTAATAAAGAAATGTCTCGATAAAATCTGTTGGTGATAGAATTTTCGTATTACATTTACTTCACTTAGCATCATCTCTTCATATTCAGCATGTCTATATTCAGACTTAGATATATTCATAGACATAAAACCAAATGTATTTTTTACCTAAATGTCCTACTAACGACAGATAAAACACCAAACAGAGCATTACACAACAAACACAGCAACAAATAAATACCTCAACAAACCAAAAAGTCAGGCAAGCTATGGTACAAATTTACTATAATAACGATGACCTGTTGAAACATCCAAAATGTATTGTCGTCTTTTTCACTCTCATATAAAATAAAAGAGACAACAATTTCGTTACACAGGTGTGGCAGTGGAAACCTATGGTTAGTATTATATAGCCAACTATACATCCCTACTATGGGTCTCGGAACCTACCCTAAGTTAGGGGTGACTAGGCTAGTCAATGTTGGCTCAGTTTGGGTTGACTTCACACATATCTGTGAATTTCTTCTCAGATATGTGAAGCATCACGATGTTTTCCTTCACCGTAAGAACGTCGGATAAATGTACATATGTAAATCGGAAATCGAATAAACACATTGCTACATGGCGGAATTCGAACCCAGGACCTGCAGTTTGCAAGTCAAGTACTTATCCCCTAAGCCACCAACACTATTAATTTGCTTTTATTGTTTTTGTACTGGAGTCTAAATTATGTTTTTTTTTTCATTTATTTTATTAGGTAGAAGTAGTTGAGAAAGTTGAAAAGGTTGAGAAAATAGAGAAACCGAAGAAAGATGCGAATGTCCGTTGCTGTTTGCACAGCGCCGGTATTGACGCGTTCCCGCACTTGCGACCCACACTACCGCGCAGCTGGACCTTGCCTGCTATAGGTAAATATTGTTTAAATCCTCTAAATAAACAATAAATAATAAAATTTATCTCATTTACTAGAAAGTAACTCATATTGCATCCATCTTTAGAGATTACTCAGTAAAAAATAAAATCTTACTAATGTCAAATGTTTAGATGTATGGATGGATGTTTGTTATTAAGTATCTCCAGAACAGCTAAACGAATCATACTTAAAATTGACATAGATGTAATATATAGTCTGAAAGAACATAGGCTACTAATTAAGTTATTTTCATTTTACACGGTCGGAGTCGCAGGCGACAGCTAGTTAGGAAATATTACAAATGTGATAAGGAGACAAGAAGAAAATGCTGATTCCGATTGGTTCACAGTATTTTAAGTACCCAGTTTTTTATGATTTAAATGAATAATTATGTACTGTAGGTTCCCGCGTGAGATCGCTTCGTCCACCTCTACTCCAGCAAGCATCATTCGACGGTGGTGCTGCGGGCGCGCTGCGGTACCGCTTGGACGTGATGCGTGGTGTGGCAGCGCGTAGTGATGGACCATCGCCTGAGCCCTCACCACCCAGAGCTGCAAGTTTACCTGTAAGTACCTATTTATCTGGCTCGAAGGACCAACACGTCACAAAAGTATTGCTAGTTTTTATTAAATAAATTACGAAATTAAATAATATGAATAGAAATTGATGTATTATATTAAAACTAGTTTTAAGGTTATGTTAAATCTATTATTATCCGATAGTAAGAATTTAAAAAAATCTTTCCTTATAGAAAAAAGTTGAAGTATTAATCTTTTCAAATATCATGGCGGCTCAAGGTCAACAACGCGCTACGCTGTTCTACGCTGAGATTTGAGCGACGTTAAGAGCCACCAAGATATTTGAAAACATTTATAATAAAAAATAAGAATAGTAAATTAACTGTTTTGTGTGTCATCAGGATGTGTCGCGATCAGGCAGCGGGTCTGGTGGATCAGAGCGCGGGTCAGGTGCACGCGCACGTCCCGCCGAGCGCACCGTGTCCAGCCGACTGGAGATACGCGTACGCGCTACACCCGAGCCGCACGGCTCGCCTGCACACACCGGCACACAAGGTGACAGTGAAGCAGAGTAGTAGCATATACAGTACTGCAATGCTTTGAAAGCAGATATACTGTAAAAACATTAATATAAGAGCAGTAATGTTCTGTTCTATATAATTGTGCTTCCCTCGTGTGAAACGCATGAGACTCGAAGGACCAATTTTTTTTTTTTATAAAATATTAGCAGATTTTTTTTGGAAATTTACTAATATTTCTTTTACCATTCCAACTAAGCTCTAGACTTGTGCTAGGATATGGTTTACGACAATAGTCGAATGGCGGGATTCGAACCTCCGATTTAACCATTAGGCTATTGGCGCTTCAATTATGCTTGTCTTTTTACCTTTTTTTCTTGTTATTTATTGTTTTTTTTTCACAGTACGTATCCACTCTGTGGTGACAGGCGGTGAACCGGTACGACTGAACCATGAAGAGGCGTCCGTATACTACGATGCTACTGAGCATCAGAGAGACAAAAGGTACAACCTCTCTGCCAACCCTTTTTTCTAAACTAAATCTTAATGTAAGAAAAAACCTAACCACGCAACTCATGTTTTTTTTGTGAATATTAGTTGCTGATATTTCTTTGTCTTCTTCCTTTCTTGAGGTATAAAATATTAAATATAATTTTCAGATCTTCAACACGTAGTGTAGAGAAGAGCCAAAGCCCAGCTGCCATGGAGAGGACTCGACTAGATGCGATACAAGACAGGTAAATACCATATAAGTTTTAAAAAGTAAACATATAAGAGGTAATTAAATAGTTTTATTTTTTGTTGTATATGTAAATAAATTGTTTAATTTACAGGAGCAGTTCAGTGACACGTCGCGAAGCAAACGCAGCAGGTGACAGTTCGCATAGCCTTAGAGATGTAAGTAAATATAAAAATAATGACAAAAAAATGTCGTTTAAAAGATTTTGGAACGATCTGTCTAGTTTTTTAATCGGTGCTTTGTATAATATGTTTTAAGGGTTCCGTACCCTGAAAGGAAAACGGAACCCTTATCATCACTTTGTTGTCCGTCCGTTTGTCTGTCGAGATAATGAGTTATCAGGAACGCGTCAAGATATCAAGCTGGAATTTATTAATATAACCGTGCCTGTCTTAATATACAGTAGAACCAGGATAATCTAGAAACCCCTATAAGCAAGAAAACTATGTAAGTTGGTCTGTATTGTAATTTATACTTATTGTTACAGCGGTCTACGTCTCGTATCCCCGTGGCGACTGGTGGTGGTGGTGGTGGTGGTGGTGGTGTGGGTGCAGGGGGCGCGGCTGGTGGTGCAGGGGGCGCGGGGGGTGCGTGCGGTGGGTGCGGCGAGGCGCGCGGCGGGCGGCTGGCTAAATGCGCCTCCTGGAGCGGCGATGGACCACTCTCGCCCGCACCAGACCCCAATGACCTCACTCCAGGTAACGTCATATACAAATATATAATAGTAGTCAAAGAATTAAATTTCCTACACACAAATACAATCCCATATCTTAATTGAATATATATAATTCAATACGTATGTATGTATTCGATATAATTGCTTCTGAATATTTAAAGACATGAAACTTTGATATGGTCAATAAATAGATTATTATTTGCTGTTCAAAATTAACGAGACTTAGAATTCTTCAAACGACTTAGTTGTATTTTAGAAAGTAATAAAAATTATTGTTATTCAGCTCTACGCAGACGTCGGCAGAACGCGAACGACAAGTACGCGGTGGACCCCGCGCGGGAACTGAACCTGAGATTTGCGCGCCCGCGTCACCGACAGCCGCCGCAGCCGCACACCAGGTACATAACTCTACATACATACATACATCTAGTCTTATTCCTTAACAATACTTTATAGCATAAGTATCACTTTTACCTTTGGTTTCTAAGACCAAAATCTCCGTATAAAACGTACCGTAAACCCAATTAGTATCTTTTACAAAACAGAAATGATATATTAAACGGGGATTTTCGTCTCGGAAACTCACACTTAGGTTAGGATAGTTCATTTATTTCATCCTAAATTGATTTAAATATTTTTGTATGTACAGTAGGAGCGGTGCGCGTGGCGTGCCGGCACTACTGCTGGCGTCTCCCCCGGCTTCGGGCTCCGCTGCCTCGGGTGCTTCGGGCTCCTCCTCGTCGGGCTCCCCGCCGCCTGCACCGCCGCCCGCAGCCGCGCCCCCACACAATGCCGCACGTGCGCGACGCTTCCGACCACTCTCTATCGCTCCATAGGTATTATAGTATTCTGATGACTTAGGAGCTCGGAATTTTGCGCTGTGCAGCGTCTTGAGCCTACAAGATATTTGAAATGAACTATACTTATTGAATCTTTTAAATATCAGGCAGCGACCTTGAAACTTGGAAAGACATGACAGTATGTTTTTATACAGGTGTTTTCGCAGTGAAAACTCAATACATATATTACAAAAAACACTACTACAATTAAACTTCTTTACACTTTATTCTTGTATATCCTTACTTTTATCTCTACTTACATATTGTTCCTTTAACGATACTAATTTAGTATTCTACTAATTATTCATTTAAGTAATAATCAGTCACATCATAAACCATAACGACTTTAGAACAACTTATATAAAAATCAAATCCAATTAACATTGTACAGTGCTATGCAAACTTTACAGCGGCTCGAAATTTCACATGATATCAATTAGTATAAATTAAACTATAGAAGAAAATTAAAATAGGTAGATGGTTACTTTCATGATGTCTTTGTTACTTAGACTCTGATGTTTTCAGTATTTCATTGTTTTTATTTTTTTTGTTCCAGGAGACGGCCACCGGCTGTGACGTCACAGTTGAGAACCCTTTCTGAGATAGCAGAGTCCTTGCTCCGCAAAGTGTTGGAGTACTTTAAATATGTTATATTTTCGCAAATCAAACGTTTACGTCGCGGTGAGTACGAGAGAAAAAAAGGTTTTATCCAATTTCACGTTTATAGTGCGATAAACTTATTCGGCCCGGTGAGAGTTGCAGATATCGCGGTTGCTTCTGTCATAATAATATGTAAAACTTACTAAGGCATAGAAAGATACAGTCCGTAGGATTCTTGTGGCTGTGTTGTGCACACTGGGCGCTATCGCGAAGTTTCACTTGTTCCCACCGGGTCACATAAGTTAGTCGGACTATACATAAATGTATGTACAGTCTAAGAAATCATATCCCATACACTCGATGCTTCACGCCAAATGTCAATTGTCTTGAAAAATCGATAAAAAAATATGCATTTCGCTTATTTAAATAATATTGTGATTTTTAATAAATTAAAAAAATATGTAAAAAAATGACACTATAGTACAAATTATCGAGTGACAGAAAAAAAAAACGCTTAAAAATGTGTTCCATTTCACATATCTGAGTGTAAAACAATAAAGGTAGCGCCACACTGAAATTGATTATTAAAAATATTTATAAAAAAAGGTTAACAAACAATCCAGTGTGGTCACACCCTAAAGATTTAGTTGATTGGTTTTCTTAGACCGTGCGTACAAAAGAATTAAAAAAAAAAGTATCTTTAATATTTATCGATTTTTAATCATTGCTTATATTAAGCCAAAAGTATATAATTATTTTTATATGCCCACGAATACACAGTACCTACGAAGCCACTTCATTGTATGATATATCCGACAAAAGAAAATATATTTTTGGCTTAGTATTGAATTGTGATTGGAGTGCTAGGCTATTTACCTTATTATTGATAAGGATTTTAATAGCGTTATTCGATTTTGCTATATTCCTCGGTTTAGAAAGCAAAAGGGGAATGTTACAACTGTTTTTAATAAATTAACACGTTCAATGCCAACTTAATTTTCATACAAAAAAATAGTAGCATTGAATGTGTTAAAAATTTCAATGCATAAAAATTTCTATTATGCTTTCTATATCGTAGAATGAAGTTTGTTTCGTACCATAAGGTGCTTTGTGAATAAAAATTCTTAGATCTCTTGTTAGATAGAACTTGCCTTTTTAAATCTAATACGTTGACAAATAGATGTCGCTGTTTGTTGAAGTTTGAACGAGTTTGTTCGATACAAATTTGTTACAGCTTTAGACGGGATAAGATTGATTAAAATTATCAACATTTATAAAAAAAAAACATGGAGTGAGAGAAGTATTTTGTGCTAAGTCTTGTTGAAAATTCAGCCTTTGATAAAATTGGAATTATGAAGAACGTTTATATTAATTTAGGATTAACAAATGTATGTATATTATTTATTTCTTGCATGAAAAAAGCGTTGCCTAAAGGCATTCTGTACGAATCCATCATTTTTTTTTATCTATCAAAATTATTTATTTCGTTTTTTATTCTATAGTCTATTATTTTGTGATGGTGCATGAGTATTTTTGTTTTAAAAAAATAACTCAAAAAGATGTATATTCTTTTTTGTTTTTCCTGAAAATAAGTAACATAAATGGAAGGAATATTCTAAATCGATTTAAAAAGCTTATTGAGATGTTAACGATTATTCTAAGTTGACAGTTTGTGTCAAATATAGATTATATACGTATGTAAAGATGACAAAAATTTTTGTTTGGTAATGAAACTATATTGTTTGTGGTTTAATTAACAAGTGTCTATGGTTTGATTTTATATTATTATGAGATGAGATTAAGTTGTAAATATTTTGCGAAAATATTTCAATCTTTATGCATGAAACAATTGAAAGCATGCGATAATGTCGTCTCTTAAAGTGGATATTTTATAAAAATGACTGCATTCATTGATATTTTACATTATTCTGTTGAATTTAACGTCTTGTGCGTTGTCTCTGCGTGCGTTCTTCTATGATTTGTTTAGTCTTTGTATTTAAAGGTTTTTTTTTACATATGGTAACACTCGATAAGTCGTGTCAAATAGGTTACTTATTATTTATTATGTATGATAAAAAGTCTCGCTAGCATTTACTGCCCAAATCAGCTTTGTTATTTATTTGTATGTCTATAATTTATTATTTTGAACTCAACATTTGCGTGTGAAAATGAAGATATTTATTTAATCTGTTCTTACAACTGGCAACATTAAACCTATTTAGTATGAAATCACTTAAAATACTTATCCATATCTTAACGCATTTCCTCAGTCTAGATTTTCTATATCCTTAGACTTTTTTAAGAAAGAAATAACACTAAATGATATATATGCAATGCCACCAATTAGAAGTTACAAATTTGTACGTAAGCTACAAGAATAGTTGGAAAATATCTTGTGCTTGTAAGAAACCTTATTTTCAGTTTGAATAATTTTACAATATACCTAGAGCGTAGTTTTAGCTATAAACCTGAAATAAATATTAAATATTTAAAACCATAGACCGCGTTTTGTAGTGTTGCCACTATAAATTGTGCGTAAGAGAAAAAACTACATTTTACTAAACCGATACTAGTTAACATTTTATACAGAAATTAGATAAAATAATCCTTATTTATCTATATATTTTTTGTTACTAGTAACACAGATAATAGTTGCTGAGGGTTGCCATTATTCTGTATCACCTGAACGAGATAATAATTTTTGTAACAATGTCATAACATATACCAACATTTGACGCCATTTTTTCATATTTAACCCTAGATCTTTATAATGTAAAACAAATGATGGCGGAGACTTATCATTTTACTTTGTGATACTCAATTATTTACGAATGTAGTTTTATAATATTGAAATTATCTGTAATCATAAAGAAAAATGTAGAGAATGTGCTTCTTACACACCGCTTTAAAATAATTTGAAAACATTTATCATATGTTTTTGAAACTTTGCTCTCTTTTTTTTATTATAATTATAATGACAAAATGATACTTATTTTTTGTTTAATAAGTTGTCTAATAACGAGGCTGCTCCATAAAGATGTATCCATATTGAATGAATTAATAAATATACGTTATTTAGACGCCATTATGAAACTCTAGTCTTTCGCTGCTTAGTGAATAGTAATGTTGTATGTAATAATTAAATACTGATTAATTAAAAATATCTAGAATTAAGTATTATGATATTAAAAGAGTTGGTGCGATATATGTACGTGTAACGGAACGTTTTAACCTTGATTTAGCAAATGTTGCAATATGCAAAATCAAAGTTGAAGTGTTCGGCTAAATGAGGTGATTTAAATTGCTTAGGAAATCGCCGTGTATGGTTTTCGAAGTGAAATCAGTTAACAGCCGAGGTGTTTGTATTGTTTTTTCTTCTTAATATAATCCTTATATAGCTTTCGACAGCTGTGCACGGGAGTTCCGGAACACATTCTAGTCTACGAACGGCTTCCGTCTCATAGATATATCGAAGGGATAAAAAAAATGAGGCAGTTATTTTTGTCAGAAGAAATAAAATTATGTAAAAATTGTTATTAATTGTAAGCCCTTTTAAATTGTCTTCGGGGATTATGCCGCGCTTGCGAGGCGTGGCGTGTTGCAGCGGGCTGTATGTTGCGGCGATGCGCTGATTTTTTCTTTTAAGAATGCACGCTCGATTATGTTTTATTTTGCCATATTTTTTTATATTTACCGAAATATGCACAATGAAATTTAAATAAAAGGTATTTGTCCTTATCGGCGTTTTATTTATTTAAACTCATCCCACTGTGAATGGAACTAAGAATAATTTAATAAAAAAGCTTATCGCACTAGATTACTATAGTATATATTACAAGGAACGGGAATTACACCGGAGCCACTGACCTACGGACAAGCCCTAGTATTTTGTACCTTCTTGATTTTCACCATTTTGCTATTGACGGTTGCTCAGGTAGTGGTAGTGAAGTGGTCACTAATAATACTAAGAACTAATAGGGTTAGAATTAACTGTCAAGAACAGCAGTTGCGTTGAAGGACATATGAGTATTTTTAAAAATCTAGGCTGCTCTAGGTCATCGGCGCGCTGTGTCTCCCCCGCATGCTGCTACACTTTTTATTGTTTTCTGATCTTATGCTTCCATTTATAGTTACCACTTATGCCTAAGCTCTATTTCTTCGCTACTTTTGACATTCTCCAGTTTGATAGAAGGTTGAGGATGTTTTTGATAATTCAAATTTTAAGTATGATAAACACTTCATTTATGGTTAACTTACTAGAACTGATCTACATACATTTTTATAACCAAGGCGACGACACAAATACTTTTTAATTTGAGTATTATTTACTTGCGACATTAGATGCTTAGATCATGCGAGACACAAACCTTTATCTTTAAAAAATCAACTTGACATTTGTCATCCACTGGCGCTGTCACTGTCATCTGTCCATCACTTTGTCGATCAGAAAAGTTGATTAATGCAAATATTCGTATAAATATTTACGAAAAAATGTACACAGAAGTCGACGTATTTGTTAGTAACTTTACACTTATCGATCCTGAAATATATCAATTATGGATTGAGGGTTGTTCATGTAAGTTTCTATTTATAAATCAAGGTATACTAAAACATTTTCAAAGACTACTACTCAGAGGAATTATTAGTAATTTGAAGGAATTCCTCTAAGTTCCTTACAAGTTATATTTCAATAAAGATTTTTATTGAATTGAGAAGCAAAACCAGAAATAACTTCTTATCTAAATTTGAGCCTTATCTTCCAAAACAACTTCTTTTTAGCTAGCGAAGCAGTATCAACACTACATAAACGGTCAGCTGAAAAACAACAAGGAGCTACAGTGGAACTTATAGCCAGTGATGTTTTGGATCACTACAGGTATTATTAATCCTATATTTATAACCTACCAAAGGTATAGTTATAATTCACTATGTCTGGAGGATTGCCACAGTATATTTTACTCTTCTATGCATCTCTATCAGCTGATATATCTGAATATACTCCCATTTAATGCATATCCTCTTATGTACAATCCATCCATTTGTTCCATTTTCCTCTACCCTTGTAGTCATTTAAGTTCAATCTTTCTTATTTATGTGATCATTTTCTCTGCGCATAATACATCCTATAGTGCTTTTAAACTTTAGCTAATATACATTCTTAATTTTATACGATCATGTCACACCACAAATCAATCTTAACATATGCATCTTATAACAGATGCCAAAGTTCTAGGTATAATTGTAAGTATTAAATAATTTTGTTTCAGGACTTTCGCTTTACTTGAAAGGCTGCTGACAGTCCCATCAAAACTGTCAGAACAGATGATATTCCAGATTGATGAGCCCACTAAGCAGATGTTAATTGAGAAGTAAATATAGCCAAATATATAAATAACCTAGTATTAAAAGTGTATCTGTGCAATAAATACTCTTCTTACTCTGATCTTGTAGATACTATGACTTGGATGATGCAGTTATTAGAGAACTTCTGGGTCGAAAATTATCATCAAGACATAGAAAAGACTTAGATGAGGCAAGTTTATATTAATATAACCTTAAATAGATTATTAAAAAAGTTTATTAAACTTTATTCTTTGTGTAGGTAGCGGAGAGATCAGGCGCACCACTACGCTGCTGTAGACGTCAGTTTGATAATGTGCGAAGAGTCTTTAAAACTGTTGAAGAGATGCCTGGTAATGTGGTGGCGAATATACGGAATACCTTCCTCATATCAGAGCCTCTAGCTAGGTATGTTCTTTGCAAAGACCATGGATCAATTCTAATATTAGTACAGAATGCTACCACAGAATGAAGGCATTTCTCATCTCTGTTGTAATTTGTTTATGATTATTTTCATAGGAAATATGGTGCGGTGGTGTTCATAGCGTGCATGCGCTTTGAGACCGGCAAGCGGAAGTTGCAGTATCTCACATTTAACGATTTCTTCCACTGCGCACAGGTAACCTTTAAACTCAGACTTTCATTACAATTTATATACTAGATATATTTATCATTCATCATAATATTTGCATTTAGATAGTCAACAAACAAGAGACCTAAAAACTAAATAATTCTCACATCATAACTTATAGGAAAATGTTAGAAACTGTCAGGTTGATTTGTGTCGTACCAGGTCTATTTCTGCATCATACTAGGTGTCTTGTGTCCCGTACCAGGTCTATTTCTGCATCATACTAGGTGTCTTGTGTACCTTACCAGGTCTATTTCTGCATCATACTAGGTGTCTTGTGTACCGTACCAGGTCTATTTCTGCATCATACTAGGTGTCTTGTGTACCGTACCAGGTCTAATTGTTTACCATAGCAGGTATCTTGTATGCGGTACCATGTCATACAGTGTACCGTACCGGTTCTAATTGTCTACCGTACCAGGCTATAATGGGCAGCTGGACGTACAGCTGCACTGGCCCGGAGTACTACGACACGGAAATGGACCGCGAGTTCCTGCTGGAGCTGCGCGAGCTGCGGCTGCTGCTGGACAAGGAGAAGGAGCATAAGCATCTTGTCTGCATGCGTCTCAGACCCAAGCTACTGGATAAGTCATACCAGGAACTGGAACTTAACTTTAGGTACGGAGTGGATCCTTCAATGTTATAATTGGATATACAAATGTATGAAGCTGAAGTAAACTTGAAAAAAAAAATACTAGATACTTCATACTATTAGGAAGAAAATCCGACACTGTGCCGGTGTACTGGCGCAGCACTAGCCTTACTAAAATATCGACGTTTATGTCCCCTCACTATTCATTCTGACACTTCACTTTGTAAAGAAAGCACGTCATTCGCGACAAAGGATTCTAACTAATGTCTAAAAATAGCGTTAATATTATGCTTTTAATAATGCTCCTTTTTTATATGTCAGTTTGTGTTTAATAATTTGAATGTATTTTCTTGCAGACTGTACACGCGCGCTCTGGTGGGCTTAGCGTGCAACTTGCATCGCGGCAGAGAACTGCGCTCTCTCTTTATTGACCTGCTAGAACGGTAAGAATTGTGCTAATTGCTTTTATCTACATACTAGCTGTCGCCCGTGACTCCGTTCGCGCGGAATTAAAAAATAAATTAGTAGTTATCTGTTCTGTTCTTCCATACAATGTTCTACAGTCGAAGAGAGAGTCCAAGGGACCGCGATGTTCTCGCTTATAGAGGTTTCTCTTTAACCCGAGTTTCTCGCTTATGGAGGTTTTTGGTTTATCCAGGTTCCAACTTAATAAATTACTGTGTGGGATGTACTTTGAAATTTTATATGAATTCAAATAAATTCTTCAATAAATAAATAAATAAATTAACAGTTCAAAACTAAAAGAAAAATAATAAATTGTTGTAGATGCATTGAGCCATTGCGACTGGGCTGCTGGCCCAAGACGGATCTCGCGCAGTTTTTGTGCGCGTACGAACAATGCGCTTTACAAATGGATGTTCTAAGGTAATGGACTAATAATATACATTTTTTTTATATCATAAGGTGGCAAACGAGCGATCGGCCACCTGAAATCGCTGAAATAGCGAAGTGACCGTTGCCCATAGACATACGCAATTGCATATGCGTTGCCTACCTTTAATCGACGGAGGAGAGGATGCACAGAAAGAAAATATTTTCCCTTCCCATGCATCCTCTCATCCGGAAAGTCCACTGATATACGGTTAAACACTGTCTTATATTCGTCCGGTGGCGGCCCCCGATGGTCTCAAAACTAGTCAGTGCCGCCACAAGAAAATACCTCAGTGTTAAGCCGTTTTTATATAACAGTTTAGTATAATGTCTCATGAAAGTTTGAATAATTTTATACATTTACTGAAGTACTTCTTATTTTAGGAATAGTATAAAAATTCCAGCTTGATACCTTTACCCGTTGCTGAGAAAAAGTGTCTTGACAGACAGACGGATAACAAAGTTATCCTATAAGTGTTCTGTTTTTTTATTTTATGTTAATATATTTTTCATTACAGGGAAGCAGATTTGAAGAGTGTATGGGAGAGATATATGCGTGTGGTGAGTCAGTGTTTACTCACTATGTACCATATCTGATTTAATTTAAACAATTTTTTATCCCGCTCTAAGTCTGTGAATGTGAGAGGGATGTCAATATTTTTATCCAGCTCGAGTAACCCATAGATAGATTTACACTAATATCTTCATATTGAAGTTTGATTTTAAATAGATTTTGGTAACTTGAAGTTTTCAATGAAATTTTTCGTTTTTTGGTTTGCAAAAATGTGTGTAATTTAACTGTGAGTCATATATCTTCCATCTCTATTTTTTCAAAGAGATGTGAGGGTAACATCATGTGTCCCTGCATTCTTGAACCCACAGTAAAGAAATGTCGATTACATATAAAGCCGAACATGGATAAGAGTCCAATGGAACCTGATGTTTTTCTCGCTTAGGGGGCGTCCATAAATTACGTGAGATGTTTAAGGGGGGAGGGGGTCGAGGCAAATCTCATCTAATCTTACGTTGGAGTGGGGGGTCGGCAAATATCACGCAATTTTTTTTTCTGATTGAAGCAAGAAAAAGAAAAAGCACGAAGCAATTTTTTTTCTTTTTACAATAACACTCCAACGCGTTTACATAAGAAACTCACATTTTGAAAAATCTCACGTGAGATTGGGGGAGGAGGTTGAATAAAATTTCACGATATCTCACCAGAAGAAGGGGCAGAAAATTAAAAAACACCTCACGTAACTTATGGACGCCCCCTTCCAGAGGTTTCTCTCTAATCAGTTTCTTATAGAGTTGTAAGGTACTGACAACGTCAGTAAAAGAGTTTTAATAAATTGCCAATTATTTTTGAATGAATTACGGATATTGTCCAAAACAGATAGAGGATTTTAGGTTATCCGGGCTGTGTAGGGTGAAAAATTAATTTTATTTATTTCAATTATTACTATCATTATTTTAAACATTACTACTGTATTGTAAAATATTGAAAGAATTTATAAAGATTTAAAAAATTAAATATATCGTTTGTGTAAATATATTTCTAATTTTATCTTATTCCTTTAGTGTTTAACCCTTAATCAGATGGTGTCCAGTGTGACGAACAACTAGTTTAGAGAAAATTACGTAAGTATGACTTTACTAAAAAAACAGTTTTTTTGCTACAAAAAATGTCGTTAAATTAAGTTAAGGTTTTTTATAATATATTCAAGTTACTTGAATAAAATAACGTGATTTATGAAAACAAATATTTAATCCATCACTTATAACAAAAACATTACTATTCTAATATTTACAATGTTTTTCAACAACTAAAATTGTTTGAGAATTGAGTTAAATTAAATAAATTTCACTAATAGACACTGAGCGTCGGTGGTCAAGCACTTGACTTGCAATCTGCAGGTCCTGGGTTCGAATCCCGCCATATACCAATGTGTTTTTCGATTTCCGATTTACATTGTGATGCAACCTGCACATATCTGTGAAGAAGTACAAAGATATGTGTGAAATCAACCCGCACTTGGCCTGCGTGGTTGACTATGGCCTAATCACCCTTAACTTAGGGTAGGCTCCGAACCCCTTGGTGGGGACGTATAGTGAGCTGATGATGATGATGATGAAAAGACACATAACTAAAGAAAATTACCTAAGAGTACAATTATTTGGTACAAATTTCCCATTGGTACTATGCTTGATGTTCCGTTAGTTCATTTCTACATGTCCTGTTCCAAGTGTAGATGTTCCTAAATGTCTATAAGTCCTGTTGGTACAGATTCCTGTAATGTAACTGTGTCTGCAGCATGTCATCCTCGTTTACAGTCACACTCAGCGGTGGGATGAGTGCACCAGCTACAGACCTGACAACACACATAATGTATGATCATATGGAAATAAGAAAGAGCCCAATTACCTTTTTAACTATGTATAAAATGAAAAGACTTAGCTGCTAAAACACTATTACCTGCCCTCAGCATTAAGGAAGTTGAAAGTAGAGCAAGCATGCTCGGTAGTCAGCAGTTCCACATTTAGTTTGTTGGCGCGCGCTGCACGGAACGCCGTGTCTATGGCCTTACGTTCATTTGTCTCCAAACCCACTATCTATGGACAAAATATTGAATGAAATATGCTGTACGTAGATATCATTGTTACAAGATATTCATTTCAGCATTTTTTGTGAACTAACCAGTAAATCTATTTTGGGCTCCAGGATTTTAAAGAGTCGCAGTGACTCCTCTGTGATTTCATATGATCCACGCACCTGCCATGACAATACTGTCCTGAAACAATATCTCATATTGTAATATTAGAATGCAAGCTATTGGTTGAACTGGTCTTCTCTTCGAAGGGGTAGGAAAAATAAAAACAAAAGAATATCCAAGTACACACAAAGCAAAAATTACCTAGGAAATAAAGCCATAGGGCCCAGCACTGTGACTCCATTGTTCAATCTGAAGCCATACTGAAATAATAAATATTAAATCAAAAATAATTCAATACTTTACAACAATCTATAACTTTTTTATGCTGAGTTTAATAAAAAAGAAGACTTCTATAAAGACAATCATTCAGGAATTGGAACATGTTTTGCCGGACTACACCCATATTATTAATAAGCAATCTTATATCAATAACTGACATATAAAACCCACCGTTGCATAGGAATCAACCATAAGGCCTAGTTCCAACTCTTGGTTAATAATTCGAACTGTTGTCTTTTCATCCCCTTCGTAAGCACCCTTGTGCCTCACCAAACTGCAATATGTAGTAATAAATTATAAATGCGATATATTGTATATTTTATAAATATTACGCGGAATAAACACTAATTAAAAAAAAAACCAGCTGACTATTTTAATACATTAACATAACCTTAAAATTGGAGTCCTTTTAAAATTGGTGGTGATTCTTTTAACTGAATTCAATAACATTTTGATTAGTTTTGGATAATATGGTCGAACTATTCTTCCTTTTTTTAAGACATGAACAATAAAAATTCAACGCAATTTTAAATAAATAAATTATTTTTGGGTTTAAGTTGTCAGTGTCAATAGTTTTCACTTGACAGGCAACTGCCAAAGTCAAGTCAAATCATTTGTCAATGGCTTAATTGAATGCGAAGCTTTTGAAACAGATGTTTTTTTCTACGGTCTTATAATTTTTAAACACGATAATAATCTTCTCATTTGCTGTTTTACACATAGGTAAACTGTTTTTCGTTATTGATGATAATTTCAGAAGACATTTATTGGCATAGGATGAAAGTGTTATTTTCTAACATTTGGTAATTTAGGACATACTGGTCACACTGAACTAGCACCTCGAATGACGTCACCGATTAAATAAATGCGGAAATGCCGGGAGGGAGAGGGAAATGCGGATAACCGGCATGCGTCAACATTGCAGATGCGCGTCAATTTTGAATTATGCAGATGTCAATTTGTGATAACACAGTGATAACATTTTAAACACAACAAGTTGTGTAGTTGAAATTTTTTATATTTTTAAATATTAACATGCATTATTGTGCCTGAATTTGTATTGTAGTGACATTAATCGGAATAAAATTCTAAATTAACTATTCGTCTCAAGTTATCCTAAAGTTTAATAAAACAATGACAAGTGTTGAGAGTTCTACCATTGTTTTGCATGAAGAAAGGAAACGATTCGTTACTTCTCGTAGCGAATATGATGTTGATTTGTGGCGAGAATTTAAGAAACGTTGGATGGTGTTTGGCGTACTGGGTGCAGTAGCTCTGGCGGTGATATCTCCACGACTGGGCGCTCCCGGAGGCAACTACCCTGCATGTTCACTCATAGATCATTTTAGAATGCATAGCACCTCATACAAACATGTAATTATTTTTTATAGCTTTTAAATCACACACAATATATGCTAGAAAATTGAAGTTAGAAAATAATAAAATTAGATGTTTGATACTTCTAAAAGTTTAGTAATTGGTAAAAAAATGATTATTTCCTAGATAATGTAATTGAGACTAATTATCTATTATGAGTACAAAACAGGAAAGTATGTAATAAACAGAGAATGGAAAGATATGTGGCAAAATCAAGTAGTAAATATTTTTAGAAGTAATTATATTGTTATTCATTTACATCGAAGTAGCCTTTAGCATAATTATTGCTATGCCAATGCATATTAATTAAATTACATAGCAAGTTGTAGTAATCCAATTTAAATAAATTAATTTATATGAATCATAGTAAACTTTTAAAATGGAGCACAAGAAAAACAAAAGATGTTTCTGGATTATTGAAGAAAAGCTTATTTTTTATGCTATGCTTTAAGGAAAGACTTTAACAGTTCTGCATATTTTTAACTAATTCCTGCATTAAAATACAATTTTTATCACACATATTTTAATATTACAATGCTATTCCACCTAGCTCAGTTTTCATTTTATTTTTTTATTTATTACTGAAAAAAAAATTATACCTTACTTTTTAAGAATAACTATTTTTAAGGTTATGTGTTTCTTCAAAAAATTGAAAAATCTATAACTGCTATAATTTGTAATAATTTTATTAACATTACTGAATAACAATTTATTTCATATTTGTTTACTGTGTAACGTATTTTTAAATAGGTAAACTTCGTATGGAAATTGTGCGATGTTGTGCGCTATGGAATTTATACTACATAACGGGACGTAGTACTGGATTGCGCGGGGAAAATGGCGTGCGTGAAATTCGTGCGCGTTTGTACGCACTATCTGTTCTGCACGCGCAAGTGATCGCACCAGTAGTGGCCGCGGTGTCCGCACTTGCCTTGCGAGATGCTAACCTCGATAGACGACTACTTGAAGGGTATGTTTTAACATAGACTATGATTAAATTCATTTTTAATTGAGTAAAAGAGCAGACTATATTTTGAGGTTAGCAAAGAGTGCAAAGGTATATGACATTTTTTGTAGTGCCTTGGTCGCTCGTTCCCGAGGACCCTGCGGCTGGTTGTCGCTTGCGCTATGTTGCGACTCATCACCAACAACACCAGTATTGGCAGCCATCAACTACGTCGTGTCTCTGCTCACCGCGCCGTTTGCAATTTTATTCTTTGTTAGTTGACCTCAGTACGTAGATAATAATTACTATAAATACTATAGATGGATTAATTAAAAGGGACTGTTTTAATTGTATGGCCAATTCGACCAGATTATTAGTCCTCAAATTCTTGTTTATGGTATGTTCGTAGTGCGGTCGTACAGCATTGCCTCCGTTGAGCGGTATCGTGTGGACAGTGGTGACGACGGCAGCGCCTTTTCTGATTGGTTGCTGGCGGTCGCAGCGCCTCTCGCCCCGCGCTCCCCGCACCATCACTCGCTTGCTGGCTCTGCTTCTACTCTACATCGACTGCAGCGCTCTCTTGCGGGACGCTGAAGGCAGTCTTTACATCACCGATGTTTTGGCGACTTTGTTTTTAGGTAAAAACGTGCTTTTGGAATCCAATAATAAAATCAAATGTCATGTCTGATTGAGAAGATAACAATAAACTATAGTCAATTGGGGTTGCCATGAAAATACTTGCGGGTTACCACAAAAAAAAATAGTGATGTGAGATATACGATTTAAATAAAAATACGGTAACCGATAAATCTTCTAGTTGACATTGAAGGCTTTTTATGACTTTTAATTGTTTACTACGTTGTACGTTATAGAGATAAGCAGTGTGTCGCTAGCGGCTGCGGGCAGTTCGCTGTACGCGCACTACGGGTTGCTGCGACGCAGTGAGAGCCGTGCACTCGCACTTGCAGCTGTGCCTAAGGCGGTCGGGCTCGGTAAGTATATATTTATTACTTAGAGCTCAATATTTAATTTATAGCTTAGTACTCATTGAAGTTACGATATACAGAGTCAGCCACCTACAAATGGACCGATGCTATACGACCATCACAGCTGTCTCTATGGTCATAGACCCGTGAATCTTTAGAATTTTTGCCTCTTTTATAGTAGAATGTTGTGATTAGGTTGGGAGATGAAGGTTTCTTGCATGTCTTCGGGACTGGCACACCTTCCGACAGTGTTCCTGGCACCCACACAAGCACTGCTAATGGCCGCGCTCTATGGAACTGACAAGGATGACCAGCCTGAAGATGACTTAACCTTTGAAGATTTACCGTTGCTTCGTGAATGACTGAAAAAGATTGTTATAATTTGAATTTCAATAATTAATAATTTAGGGTTTTTAGTAACATTTTTTTACTTAAAGTTGTAATCGCATCTAAAGAATTCCTTTTATGGATACTCTTTGGTATGAGTTGTATCTGTTTCGTCGTTTTTCATATTTGGGACCCTTTTAAAATGTCTTATTGTTCGTAGTTTTCATCGAAAATTAAAAAAAATTATAACTAAACATAAGTTCAAATCTTAGCCTTCCACTAAAGTGTGGCCAGTTCAAAGTCTGCGTGAGACCTCATTAGTTAATTGAATAGTATTTAATTAGTGGGTTTACTAGGATTAGGTATAAACCTTAATTAGCTTATAGTATTAGGTAACCTGAGGCCTTCCATTAGCCTTACTGAGATCAGATTAATAATGTTATATCGCTACGATACAATTGACTCTAGTAAAAGTAATAAATTGCTTTTTTATTAAACTCAGAGCCATTGGTAGACTAAACTAAGTTTTCGCGATCGAATCCTAAGAAATTTTGCGCCGTCCAATTGTCTCAAATAAATGCTCAAAAATGTTGGTCAATTTTGTTGCGAAATAATAATTATTTTTACGTTGACAAAATATTCTATAATTCATACGAATTTCGGTTGTGATTTTTCTGAAAATATATGACCAAAAAATTACTGAAAACTACACGCATTGTTGTTATAAAATGTTCGATTTTCTTGAAATAAAATTTGTTTTATGAATCAAATGTGTTTTATTAAATACACTTATAAATATTATTATATCACAATTTTGTTGTACAATTTAACGATTTTCTTCGCATGTGAAAGTAAACCTACTTAATAACTATTTTTATATCACAATCACAGTCATTATAGCACTTAAACTGTCTTATATTAAAGTTTCCACTGCCGAAACACGCGTACAAAAACATGTTTATACGAAAATTTCTGTAAGAAAAAAGTTTTGACAATGAAAACCCATGGTTACACTAGTCAGGGCTTTTCAATATTTTTCTTTCACTGAGATTCTATATTCGAATTTTGAAATTTCATGTAATTCATAAAATAACCGATAAATTGGATTTAATTTGATTGGTCACATCACTAAAACGTCATATGTGTCAACTGCCAAACATTACAAATGTCATAAGCCAAAATACTTGCCAGTGCAAAAAAGCCACTACAATTACAGATTAAAAATACGAGTGTAATCCTTGATTATCTTACAATATTTGGTTTAAAATTAATTAACATAAAGGCACTTTTCTATCACATATTTTATACATTTTTAAATAGCAATAATTGCTGCACTTAAAGTCATTTAATAATGGCTTAAGCATTCAACTATTGTAGTTTTTCTGACATTCACTAGTTCTTGATTTAAGATTCTACTTCTCTTCTCTATCTCTCTTCTCGTGAGGTAAAGAAGAAAACACAGGTTAGATAAGTCCACAACAGTGTCTTCTATCAAGCGGGCTGAGCCTCCGCCGGGGCCTGCTGTTGCAGCAGCTCCCAGTAACGACCTCGCTTACGAACCAGTTCTTCATGTGAACCGGACTCTGCTACTACACCTGGAATAGTTCATATTTTTATTATGATATTATTTCTAGACAACGTTATATTAAGAATAAAAAAATCAGACTTTGAGAAGGAGTTGAGGTTAGATAGAGTTTTTATTTCGTTGTACCTTTGTCTATGAGACAGATAGTGTGTGCATGTCGCACAGTGGCCAGTCTGTGCGCGATGATGATGGTGGTGCGGCCTCGTGACGCCGCCTCCAGTGCCGCCTGCACAGCCTGTGGACATCGACAACATTCATGTCAATACTATTATATAACATCTAGTTATTTGCTCTGAAATAAATGCAGTACTGAAGGCTGAATACAAATCGGAAACTAGCGTTAATACGAAAAAAAGTACACGGGTATGAATTTTCTGGATCAGGCCCAGTTTCCTACGGCTGTAGTGTCTCTATGATTTGCTTACCTTCTCACTAGCGGCATCTAGTGCGGAGGTAGCCTCATCTAGCAATAGCACACGTGGACGTCGTAGTAACGCACGTGCGATGGCCACGCGTTGTTTCTGCCCGCCTGATAACGCAGCGCTGCCCGCCTCCAGCACCGTGTCGTACCCCTGATAGAAATAATTTATATATAAAAATATCACATGAATTATACTATATTAAGTTCAAGACTATCAGTAAAAGAATCTCTTATTACCCCTTTTTAAACATAGTATAGCCGGACTGTGGAACACAATTCACGTACTTTGATTGTCTTAATAATACATAGAAGAGATTTTTACCAGTGGCAGGCTGGCAATGAAGTCGTGTACGTTGGCCTGCTTGGCGGCGTCGATGACTTCGTCTAAGGGCACTTCTCGGGAGGCGTCACCGTATGCGATGTTGTCGCGCACGCTGCGCTCAAACAGCGCCGGCTCCTGCTGCACCAGCCCGAGCTGCGCGCGCAGCTGACGCAAAGTTAGGTCCCGCTTCACATCGCGTCCGTCCACTGTCTGTAATAATGGTGTAAATTGGAGATACATTTTGTTAATTCAAATTGATAATCCGACTTGAAGGACCAATAAGTTTGGACCATTTCGCTGTTGATCACACTGTAGTATTACTTACCACATTTCCGCTGTCAGGGTCGTAGCTGCGCATGAGTAGCTGCAGCAGCGTGGACTTGCCGCAGCCGCTGGGCCCCACCAGCGCCAGCGTGCGCCCTGCCTGCAACGACACGCTCAGTCCGCGCAGCACCTCCACTTGTGGTCGTGTTGGGTATCGGAATTTGATATCCGAGAAATTGATCTCGCCAGTCGCCGACTGAAAATGAACGCTGAGTTTAACTACAGTAACTAACAGTGTATTTACCTTTATATAACTTGTCTTTTACCACACATAATTGTTAAATGGTCATTAAAGGCACTGACAGGTGTCCATTAGTAGTCGTAGTCCATTTAGTGAGAGAAATCTACACGTAGAGAAGGCTAAGTGACCATTACACGACTCTGTTTGTAACACATGGATACTCAAATACTGTAGTACCTGACAAATTAATGAAATGTATAAATTCAGCATACCCAATCAGGATGTTCGACAGCAGTGGGTTCAGTAACAACTTGTGGAGTCCTCTGCAGCGCACTAACAACGCGAGCAGCAGCACGACGCGCCGCCGCGAAGTTAGGCGCAAAAGATAGAGCTTCCGCTAACATCCATGCTCCGTAGATCAACGCCTCTGATACACTGCATAACACGAATAAAATTTTTACTAGTTGAAACAACTCAAAACGGTTTTAGAGATAGGATTGGTTTCGAAATTATAGCTTTTTTTCAAAGAATGATAGCTCTTCAATATGAAAGAACATTTATATGACAGATTATTATAATATAAAATACTTACAGTATAGCATATTCATAAGGCAAATCCTCTCTGGCGATTAGATATCCTCCATATGCAAGAGAGACAGCATATCCCAGCGTGGGCGCGCACAGACACAGCCCGTAGACAGGACCGCGCACCCAGCGGGCTCCGTGCGCGTGCGCTTCTGACTCGCGCAGAGCTTCGGCGTATTTGTCCAGTATTGCCAGCTCCACGCCTGCGACCATAGACATGTTACTCTTGTTTTGAAATGACAATGACAGCTGTCAGTGTGACGTAACGAGGGATGTAAGCAAACAATCGATAAATTTACGGTTTTCGAGTTGATTTAAAATTGAATAGTCCAATGGAATTAATTGAAAATTATAAACGTTTTACTCTTTTTTCATATATCAAGGCAATTAAACTAAGATCGTTTATTTTCAATAACTGGACATGATAACCATAGGTTAAAATTCTTTAGTTATTGTCTATTTAAATCGAATTTATGTTATTAGCTTAACTCACCTAAACTCTGTACGGTGCGCACGTTAAGTACAGCTTCTGTCGCAAGGCGGGCGGCGCGCTGTAGCGACTTTAATTCTCGTTCCTCCGCCCGCTTTGTTACGGTCCCTTCCAGCCAAATTCCACCAATAACCTTAAAAACACATAAACTATTAGACGAAATAAGGTTTTATTGAATTCTATGCATAAAAAGTAATTCAAAAGGTAAATACTTACACATGGTACACTAAGTAGACTGACAAGCGTCATTTTCCATGAGTAAGCCATAGCCAGACCTACACCTAGCACCATTGTAGACGTACCTTGAAGCATAGTGCCTAAACGAGTACCTGAAAACAATATTTTATCGTAAATGTCTATTACATTGGGACTAAGGTCAAACTTCTAGAGCTAGACTAAAATATCAGGTTAGGAATTAATTTGGCCGATGAAATAACAAAAATTGAGCTTATCCTTTAATATTTATTTAGTAAAAAACTTGGGAATTTTTTTTAAACTAAGTTTATGAAAAAAAATATGTTTTTAAATCTAAAATTTGTCCAGCCTTAATGTTAAAAAGTAGATTATTAATTACCTGTAGCGCCCTGCACAGCGGCGCAGTCGGAGGCGAGTCGGGCGCATAGAGATCCCACTGAGTTGATCGGCACGTCGAACCAACCTTGTTCCTAAAAACATTTTATACTTAAGTACAGCTTAATCGTGACAAACACATCATGCTCCTATTACTTCGATTTAGAAAAGTTGTGTGTATTCCAAAATCCTTTATATATAAAAATCAATTGATGTTCGTTAGTATTGCTAAAAATCGAGAACGTCTGAAAAGATTTATCTTATCTTGGTCTTGAAATGTTCGTGGAGGTCTAGATAAGGTTTAAAAGTTGAGAAAAAATCGAATAATTGCCGCGAAACCCTCAAAATAGCCATTTTTAAACGGCTGTATGGATCTCACTAAAACCTGTCATAAATATAGAACATACTCTGGAAGAGCTCGTAGGCTAATAATTATGTATTTTTAATTCCGCGCCGACGAAGTCGCGGGCGACAGCTAGTCGTACAACAATCGTAGAAAGAACTGTCGCAATATAGAATGTTTTCAAGCATAGTCTTCCGTTTTCTATTGTAATAACGTACCTGTACGAGGAAGTTCCTGAAGGTCATGACTCGTAGCCTGTCAGTGAGCTGAGCACCAGCGCGGCCGAGCAGAAAGGCCTGCAGGAAGGTGACCAGCCCGCTGAGCGCCGCCACGCCCGCGAATATGCCTGCGTACATGTGCGACTTGGCGAGGATCTCTTCAGGATTCGATAGGGAGAACATCTGGAATACATAATCATATTTATTCTCTCTACTCTATTGTACTCTATATAATGTATTATAGTCTCTTCTCTATGGAATTATGTTAGTAGTTTAAGACATTAGTTAGAATCCTTTGGCGCGAATGGCGCACTTTCATTACAAAGTCAAGTGTCAGAATGAATAGTGAGGGGACATAAACGTCGACATTTTAGTAAGGCTAGTGTTGTGACAGTATACCGACACAGTGTCAGATTTTCTGTTAGGAAGAAAGAAGTAGTCAAAACTTAAAAAAAAACCTTGATAAGTTTGGGCGTAAGTTGACATAAAAATGAAGAGAGTTTTTACATTAAATAGTTTTTTTTTTTATTTAAGTGGGTTTAGTATATATAGGAGTCATCTTATTGACATAATTCAGTCATGTTACTTACCCCGTATAATTTAGAGAATAGAAACGCGAACACCGGCATGGTGGCGCCAATAGCAAGTGAAGCCAGTCCACCGCCCAGCAGCAGCGGCCACTCAGCACCGTTCAACTTCAACAGCTGCCAGTTGGATACTGCAGGCTCTTTCTCCTGTTCGCTCTCGTCTCCTTCAAGCTCATCTTCTGTCTCTGTCTCCTATACCAAGAATTTCATTCGATTAGTCAAGTTGAAACCGGATTTTTTGATCACATCACTAATATTTGACAGCTGTCAAACTAAACCTTTTTCTTTAATGAAAATGGTAAAGCTATATACTTACAGGCGCCATGTCAAGTGCGGGTGGCGGTGTGGTGAGTCGCAAGCTACTTCGCATGAAACCCTCGCGAACCATTGATCCTGCGTCATAATTATTCAAATTAATGACTCGAAGATAATAAAATTCTGTAATAATTATTCAGATTTACATGAAGGAATCGGATAAACGTCGTAAAATTTACCTTTCCTACTCCTAATGGAACATATACTGCTATTCCTTCGCACGGGCTGCGGTCTACGCTCTACCACTACGTCGTCATCTTCACCTTCCGCCGTTGACTCTGCTAGAGCTTTCTCGATACTCCTAAAAATATATTACCATTTTAAATTAACATTACGGTACAAAACTGTTGATTTACTGAAAACTAATGGTCGCCCGCGACTCAGAACGCGCGGAATAAAAAAAAACAAAATTAGTAGTCTACGCGTTCTTCCAGACTATATTCTATATGTATGCTAAATTTAACATATACAGCCGTTCTCGAGATTCAGAGAAACATCCATCCATCCAAACATTCACATTTATAATATTAGTAAGATTTGAATATATATAAATATATAACAGCGCTATCTATTGGTTGCTCACCTGTGTGTGAGGTCGTCGTTGACCAGTCGCCAGTACGCGCCGCGCTTCGCCAGCAGCTCGTCGTGCGTGCCTTGCTCCAGCACAGCGCCCTGCTCCACGTACACTATGCGAGATGCATTCACTATTGTTGATAACCTATAAATAAGGTTAATATTGAGAAAAATGAATATTGAGTGTTAAAATTGGTATTATTTATATTTTTGATGACTTTACCTATGTGATACTACTAATGTTGTTCTGCCTACACTTGCAGCGTCAAGAGCGGCTTGCACCTAGAACAAAAACAATTGCATTCATTTGAAGGCAAACAAGCAATAGCTGTAGTTGGTCACTGTTGCGTAATTTGTAGAGACTTAACTCTTATTAAAGGCAAAAAGTTTAATTTGTTAATATTTTGAATACTAGAATGGCTTAGAATTGAATAGTATTTTCGTTTGTGATATAGTTGTAGGCGCTTAATTTTATGCATCAACTCCAGTAATTAAGATGCTCTGCGATATAAGAAGGTCTTACCAGTCTTTCCGCGGCTGGATCCAGTGCAGAGGTGGGTTCATCCAGCAGCAGTATGGCGGGACGGCGCAACAACGCACGTGCGATGGCAACGCGCTGTTTCTGCCCGCCCGATAGTTGCGCCCCGCGCTCGCCTAACACTGTGTCGTAGCCCTGAAATAGCAATGTATTATAGTAACTAATATTATGAGTTTGTTTGTTTAAGAGTGGTAGAACCCGCTTTAACATCTTCGCACGAATTGGCCAGGTTCGCCCGGTGAAATACCACCACCACACAGAAAACAGGCGTGAAGTGGAAGCAATTCCGCGTTTCGTCTGATGAGTGTGTGTCCCGGAGGCCTAATTTAGTCCTCTTTCCTTTCCCACCCTTTTCTTATAAGGAAAGGATGGGAAGTGGAAGTGGACTTTCCGGATGAGAGGATGCATGGAAAGGGAAAATATTTTCTTTCTGTGCATCCTCTCCTCCGTCGATTAAAGGTAGACAACGCATATGCAATTGCCTATGTCTATGGGCAACGGTCACTTCGCTATTTCAGCGATTTCAGGTGGCCGCTCGCTTGTTTGCCACCTTATGATATAAAAAAAAAAATATTAATTATGCTCTAATACTACTAAATGGGTTTGAAAAATTATTTCATTGTTGAAAAGCTACACATTCCTCGGATGCTTTAGACAAAGTCGCGAGAAACAGCTAGTTTATTTGAAATAATCATGTCCCTCCTGTCTCTATCATAGCTATACTAAAGTAATATACTAACATTAACCAGTTTGGTAATAAAGGTATGCGCGTGCGCAGTCTTAGCTGCAGCGATGAGGTCCGCTTCAGAGACGTTCTCCATGCCGAGTGTGATGTTGTCGCGAATGGTGCCGCTGAAGAGGACCGGCTCCTGTCCCACCACACCTACAGATAAACGCTTTGTTAATGCATAGTAAAACTTGAATGACCGCGGCAGTTAGATACGATCAAGTACACAAAGCAACGTAAAGCTAAACCAAACTAATATTATAAGGTGGCGAGAATCAACAACAATGGCAACATATACATACCAATACTACGTCTATAGTTATGTAGATGCAGATCATTGAGTGCGTGTCCATCGACAGTAACACTGCCGCTGTCAGGCTCGTAGGCGCGCTGCAGCAGCTGCAGCAGTGTCGACTTGCCGCATCCAGATCCCCCCACTAGCGCCACCGTCTCACCAGCCTTGATTCGCAGACTTAATCCACGTAATACCTGATTACAAATAAAATAAACTTTGAATTAAAAAAAAATATAGCACTCTGAATACAAAGTGGAAAGTTGACATGTACAAAGTGACTTCTATCACATATGTATCTCCTCTCCGCCAAATAGTGTTCCCTTTTCCTTTGTGTGTTTAAAAATATATATGCCTAGCCGTCACCCGCGACTTCGCAAGCGCGGAATTAAAACAAAAGTTAATGAGTAGCCTATGTGTTCTTCCTGATTATTTCCTACGTCTGTGGCAAATTTAATCAAGGTCCGTTGGTTTGTTCTAGAGATACGTTCAAACAAACATCCATCCATCCAAACATTGGCACTTATAATATTAATGAGATGGCATACCTTAACATCAGGCCGAGATGGATAGTTGAAGTACAGATTATCAAAGACAATATCTCCTTTAAAGCTATCAGGCTTGGTGCCGGAGTCCCGCAGCGCGTCCACCTTGGAGCGCCTCTCCAGCAGTCTGAACAACGACTTGGCTGCGCCGCGCGCTGCGGAGAACATCTCCAGATGTGGCTGACACATCGCGATGTTCTGCGCCGCCATGAACGTGCAGAATAACACCTAGAGGAATATATACATTATAGAAGCCAGACTAATAAAATTCAGACTTAAACCTGATCTAGAGATTTGTTAAAGTCAATACTTACAGTAACCATAACACCAGGATGGTACTCTCTCTCCGGTGGAGGTAGTGGCATGTCTCTAGCAACCAATGCTGCACCATACGCAAATACGACAGCGTTCAAGCTGTAGGTGAGCAGCCAGCCCACACCAGCGCCTGCGCCTGCCCACGCAACACGCTTGCGAGACGCAACCGACGCCTCTTGAAGGGCTTCTGAATATCTGTGAAATATGATGTATAGATAGAACTGTTCTACTAATCTGTACAATATACACGTAGAGGAAAGAGATAGTTATTTCTGTGTACCTTTCGACTTCTAAGTTTTCACCAGCGTATGCCCTGACGGTGCGCACAGCTGCCAGCGCCTGCCCCACCAGCCGGCCTGCAGCACCGTAACGCGACACTTCCTCGCCTGACCACCGAGTCTGGTTCTATATTACAAAAGTGTAATTTAATAGATGTGTCCGCTTCAAGGTATTTACAGTATGATCTTAAATGTACCTAAAATTTGTCATGAATTTTGCAATGTTTACGTAAAAATAACTTCATTGGAATTTCTTTGTTTTTTGGTAATGATGATGTGATATAGAGTATATAATACCTTAGCAACTATAGCAGCGAAAATAATAGCTATAGGCACGAGAGCCAGTGCAGCCAATGTCAACTGCCAGCCGTAAGCCAGCGCGAGAGCGCAGGATAAAGCCACAGTGCCAGCGAGGTAAGATATCATCGCGACTTGCTCGCCCACGCCCTGTCTCAGCTTCTCCGTCTCTCTGTAATAACAGCCTTTGGTTATTTACTTGTACTGTACTGCATACAGCATTTGATTTGGCACGTCAGAAATAAGAGTATTTTTCTGATCAACGTGCCAACTCACGTATACTATAAGTATAAAAGTCGTACTCGGTAAGTGAAGCAGCGAAGTTCATTGTGGTGTTGGTATCAAAGAAAGCGATCTCTTGACTCAACACCGACCGCAGCAGTTTCCAGCGAAGTCGTGCTATCTGCAAATATGAAACAAAATTAGTAAATAACACTAATCTATAGCAATAAGAATGTTATCGTCGCCTTTGTTTGACTGCAGTAAATCCTAATAATGTCTTTCTCACGGTTTTACCAAGACACTAACCGCGGGTTTCTGAAATCAAAATCTCTTTATAAAACATATCTTCTTTGTTTTTGACAAAACAGATACCAATATGTTTTAAAAGGATATTTGGTCTCAAAAACCCACCATTACGTTTTTGTTAAGGGTTGCTGTTAATTGTGTATAATACACATCGTAATAAGACAGAAAGGGTGATCAGTGTCATTACCATTCTAGCGGCAGCAAAGTTGCAAAGCGTGACAGCGAACGCAGCGGCGACGAGTTGTGCTATCATTATAGCCACACTGGCCCATGCGAACGCTATTGAGTCCTCAACCAACGCGTCCATGTGCGACGGACGATCTCCATTAGGCCTGTAAGAAAATACAAGACAGTTGTTACACTGGTAATATGCACCGAGTGCTTAAATTGAGAATGAAATGTAACTAGCGACCTTTAACTATCGATTTATACATAGACTTATATAATAGAAAACAAACATGATGTTTTTTGCTTTTGCTTGTGGTTTTGAGAAAAAGCGTTAGAGGTTCAAATTCATCGCCATTTCAATACCATCTTTCTTCTTTGCCTTGGACTTTAGTATAGTTCCCGCAATTCCGTCATATGATCTTTTTCTGTTCTTTATTTAGATACCCGCAAATCCGACCACGCAGAAATAAAAAAACTTAGTATGTAGCCTGTGTTTCAGACTACGTCTATGCCAAGTTTCATGGAGATCCATGCCACCTTTCTGGAGATGTCTTCTAATAAACATCCATCCAAATATACTTCAGCCATCTACCTAAACTTAAGCATTTATTGATTGCATTGCCAAGAAATTGTATTGTACACATTAGAAGATCTTAAAAAAACTTACAAATGCCGTCCACCGCCGAATAAATACATAATATGGGATGGAGCAGGTGATTCCTCAGCTCTATGGCGCTGTACGAAGAGGGCTGTGATCTCGCCATACGCCAACACGGCCAGTACCAAGCCTCCTGCACACAGCCAGCCCAGTACTGCTCCGCAGAGAGTAGCACATCGCTCACCCCATGTTGCATATCGCCACTGCAAACAAACATACATTTATAACTTAGCTTAGCTTCGATTTTAATTAATAAAGGGCGCTATCAGAATAAAAAAAACATAACTCTTTTCGTAACTTGTTCAAATAAATAGAATTTTACTTTAACGCTTATTTATTACATCCCTGACCGTGGGTTTCTAAGACCATATAAAACATATCGTCATCCGCGTCATTATCTTTGACAAAACAAACATAACAATATATTATAAATTGAGATTTTGTAAGAAACCCGTACTTTACTATTTATTCGCAGTTCATAAGTTAAGTAAACGACATTAAAAAAATCCCGTCATAAACAATAATCGTGAATATTTTTCCGCAAGTGTGTAATATTACGGAAATATATGTTTCTCAGTTGTCTCACCATGTGATTCAAGCTAGGCTGAGAGAGAGAGAGATATGTTTCTCGGTATTAGACATTCGTACGTCAAAGTACCGGTGGCAGGGGCAAGGATTCGCGGAAGCTGCTGCGGTCATTCCCACGCATTACTGACTCACAGACAGGTTTTATATTCGTTGCATAATATACTAAATCTATTTACATAATAAATTAAAAAAAAAACCCTCTAAACAATCGGAAAATTATAGCGATATGTGAAACAAGGAAAGAAGCTTGTGGGTTTTTTCCTTATATTATTGACAATTTATGTCAATTACGTGTTACTAATATGTATATTAGATGTAAATAACAGACTATCTATCGCCCGCAATTCCGTCTGAAAAAATTGGTAGTAGCCGATTCTCAGATCAACTAAATATGCATATGAAATTTCAAAAAAATCTGTCAAGCCGTTTTGAAAGAGTATGGTAACTAACATTGTGACACGAGGATTTTAAAGACGGACGGACAGAACCTTGACCATTTGTGAACTGAGAGAGTAGACATTTCACTATGTCTATGGTTCTGTAATAATTAATTTATTGTCATTTAGCTTGGGAAAAACAAACTGACATTTCTGCCAGACAAATAAACATGATATCTTATAGGGACGAAGTTTTTTGTTTACATCGGACGTTGAACTATAGAACATCTGTTCTCTTAAAACATTACTATTCAATATTTACGATGACTAAGTATTTTATTCCCTTGTTTGTTTATTTTAAAAGACAGTAGGTTTTGCGCACGATTTACAAACTTAATGGTTACGAGTTCCCTTCCATTACAACATATTTATATATGTTTGTTTGTCAACAAAAAATATTCGTAATTTCTATTTGACGTTATTCTGGCAACTCTCTCGCTTTTTTAGATTCATATAACACTCACATGCATGCTGTTTTCAGGTGCTTTTTAATAATACAACCCATCCTTAGTATGTCTTCTATATATTAATACTAGCTATCGCCTTCGAGTCCGTCCGCGCGGATTATTTCGCGGACGTTTCCAGACTATTTTCTACATCTATGCCAGATTTCAGTGAGATCCATGCAGCCGATCTGTAGATACCTTCAAACAAATATCCATCTATCCAACCAATTCGCATTTATAATATTAGAACGAAGTAATATATAAGTAAGATTTTGCGATATATGCTTGGTTTATATTATGACAGTACATTAGACGCTCAAAATCAAAGCTGGCATACAACTGGCATAATGTTAGCACTAACTGATGCCAGTGAGCCATAAAAATCCAAACCAGGCCAGTGCAGTCCAGTAGGACTACTGTAATGGCATAATCTAAACCGGGCATAACATTTGCTGTGGAAGTCCCCGACGAGATTGACATTCACTTTTGAATCGTAATTATTCGGAAAATATTTTTTCCTTAGTTCTTGACTCATTTTTTAATGATTAAATTTTTACAGTTTATTCTTTATTACAAGATTATTATACGTACATCTTTTACAATTTTTTTAAATCTACACAAGTTAAAACATTTACTCAGTTCTAGTGATGTTAATACAGTTTTTATCGTCCAAATTTATAAATGCGAATATTTAGATAGATGTTTGCTTGAAGGTATCTCCGGAACGGCTGCATGGATCTCGCTGAAATTTGGCAAAGGTATAGAACATGATCTTGAAGAACACATAGGCTAATTATTAAGTTTGTTTTTGATTCCGCGCGGACAGAGTCGCGTTCGACAACTATAACTACATAAAATTATACTGTTTTATCGAATACAGCTTCTAGACGTTTTGATTCGGAGTGTTTTAATTGGGTACAATGTCGTATTTTTCATTGTCCGTACGATGTTTTTGTAACAGGGGTCAAATGGCAATGCCGATAGTGGTAATATAACGTAAAGATTATAGCTAGGGTTGCCACTTTCAATTTTGAGACGAATTATTCAATTTTGTATGTGTAATTAGAGGGAGTTAGACATTGTCTTCTGGTCAGGGCGGTGTGAAATAAGACACCAGATGACTTTTTGACGACCTTTTTTTATATCATAAGGTGGCAAATGAGCAAGCGGCCACTTGTAATCGCTGACATAGCGAAGTGACCGTTGCCCATAGACATACGCAATTGCATATGCGTTGCCTACCTTTACTCGACGGAGGAGAGGATGTACAGGAAAATATTTTTCCTTTGCATGCATCCTCTCATCCGGAAAGTCCACGTCCTCTTCCCATCCTTTCCTTATGAGAAAAAAGGTGGGAAGGGAAAGAGGACTAAATTAGGCAGCTGGGACAAAATAGTTAGGTTTTGCAAGTGTCTGGTCATCGTTTTTTCTGTCGCTTGGTTTAGTTTCATCGTTTATTGGCAACCCTAACTACAGCTTGTTGAAATAATAAAAATATTTATGAATTCCCCTCTGAGGACGTCGTCGACTAATTAAAGTGCCATTTTTAATTATAATTCCTAGAACCCGGAGTGTTTCGTTCATTATCTTTGTTTGAACAAACTTATTAAATTAATTAAACAATAAGTTACGATTGGTTGACGCTGTTATTGTTTCATTCGGTCAATTCATTTCCTCACCTTGTCCGTAAAGAATTAATATCCGTAAAATAAATAAAAGATTCTTATCTTTTTTTTTTCAAATTGTAGTGGTTGGTGTAGTGGTTATATTCGGTAATAGAGATGGCATCCCACTGTTTTAAAACATCTAAATTTATCTAGATATAAATACTAGAAATTAACTCAATTTTGTCATTAACAAAGATGTAAAAAAGACATTTTCGTGGATCATATATTCATTGTGTTGAATGGAGTAAATTTTATAGTTATGTTTTAGTCGAATATTGTGTATATTATGTATAGCGTTATCGAAATTATATACGTAAAACGTTAACAATTATTTTATTTCTTACTAGCAGTTGCCCGCGAATTCGTCAACGCAGAATTAATAAATAAGTGGCCTATATCGCCTCGTGAATCAGTCTACCGCTACCTATTCTATCAGCTACCTTTCCGTCAAGTTTCTTCAAAATCCATCCACCCGTTCCTAAGATTATCCATAACATATGCAGCGTTGTCTAGACAGACATAAAGACAGAAATTTTAAACATTTAAACAATTTGCCGTTATCTCCAACGCAAATATATCTCGTGTACGATATTTTTTCTTCAATATAACATACAGACACTCCAATTTTATTTATATGTGTAGATTTATTAAATTAAAACATATGAGAATCATAACATTCATGTTAATTAGGTTAATTATCGTTGTTAACGAAGTTTTAATGTTTTTTTATAAAACAGCTGTAGTTTTTTTCCCAGAGGCAGACCCAAAACGAGATGGAAAGATGTAGTACTGAAAGACATGAGTGAGTGCCAAGTTTCAGAAGATGTCATGGACAGAGCGAAGTGGAAGAGACGGATTGTGACCTGACCCCACCATGTGCGATGCAAGCTAGGCAGAGAGAGAGAGAGAGAGAGAGAGAGAGAGCTGTAGTTGTGTCGTCAGAGAGTTTATAAAAATAAAAGAAACGTCGGTGAATACTTTCCATTTGTTATTGTAATATTGTCAGACATGTGTGAAATTTTCATGTGAATCTCACTAACAACATATAAACATAAGAAAGTACAATGAAATTTTATTACTGCAATGCAATGAATACATTTAATTACTACAATTGAGGAATAAAAGATTAGCGTGGTTTGGACATGTTATGCGGAGGGATGATGATATAAGCAAAAAAGTAATCAGAATGGCTACAGAGGTAGAGGAAGACCAAAAAAAGTATAGAATGACTGTGTGAAAGACGATGCGTAGGAAGGAGGTAGATTCGGATATGACGTCTGATAGAGATGTATGGAGGAGTAGTATATACTTCGCCGACCCTCAATAGGGATCAGGGCAGGTTGATGATGATGATGATTACAATGAAACATTCGAGTCTTTCAAAGTTTGTGAAAATTTAGGTGCAACATAGCTGTCGTTCGCGACACCGTCCGCGCGAAATTAAAAAAAAATAGTAGCCTTTGTGTTTTTCCAGAGTGTTTTTTTACATCTATGCTAAATTACAGCCAGATTCATGGAGCCGTTGTGGAGATACTTTCTAACAAACATCCATCCTAGGCATTCGCATTTATAAATTAGTAAGATTAGCAATGTTACTAAAGAATACTATTTTCATTAAAGATATTGTAAGAAAAATTTACGTACTTATGTACGTTTTTAAGTACTACCAAGTGTGTTGTTGGTTTCTGAGACAAAAATCCTGCATAAAACATATTTTTATCACTGTTTTGTCAAAGATAATGAAAGGGATGACGATAGGCTTTATACATAGATTATGGTATCAAAAACCAACTATAAACAATCCAGGGCAAAATACGAAACAAAAGAGAAACTTACAGTACGTACTGGAACAAGTTGTTGGGGTCTGGGGAAAAAGGGAACAGGTTCGGGAGAGGGGGTACAAGGAACAGGTCAGAGGGAGAGGATGGGGAAACCCGTTGTTTTAAATTACTAAGCGCGAGTCTTGCGATATATTTTTAATTCTGCTTCGAATATATCATTATGTTTTTATGTTTTATCTTCCTTGACCAGATTTAAGTGTCGGCAATTTAATGTATAATTTCGT